GGTGATGCCAAGTGTGATCACTTGGTTAAGGAGGGAACCATCAGATATCTCCATAGTAAAGGTATCTCTCTCCCCCTTTGCAGGTAGCTAGTAATTTGGGAGCGATTGTTTTGGCACCATGGAAATATCCTATTCCAAAGAAACTTCATCCTACGGTTTTAGCAATCATTGATGATCCTGCTTGAATCATTATTTCATCGAGGATCATAGAATTGTGATGATTCCGGGCACCTGGGTGGCTCAGTTGGTTAAGCGACTGCCTTCGGCTCAGGTCATGATCCTGGAGTCCCTGGATCGAGTCCCACGTCGGGCTCCCTGCTCAGCGGGGAGTCTGCCTCTCTCTCTGACCCTCCCCCCTCTCATGCTCTCTATCTCATTCTCTCTCTCAAATAAATAAATAAAATCTTAAAAAAAAAGAATTGTGATGATTCCTTCTGTATTGATGAGTTGGTGTTCTTTTGTATAGAGGCTCTCCTCATCAGCTGCAGATGAATGACAGTTTCTCTAAAAGGTCGGATTTGTGCTTAATTATTTTGCTTACCAGCTTTTACAGTAAGCGGTCAATGGTGGCAAATTCTTACTCTCCTAGTGGCAAATAAATTTCTCTCTCTCTTTTTTGATTAATGCTATGTAATCATGGATTTTTAATTTATTCAGTATTCTCCACAATTACAGTTGTTAGTTTTTGATGCTCAAACTGTCTCAGACGTGACCGGTGGGAGCCCTCCTGCCATACCCCATCCCTCTGTGAATATTTCCTTGCTTCCTGGAACAATAATATATTCCTCACTCACCGTTACTTTCTCTGTCTTTGCCCTGGAATCAGCCATTTCTTCAAGGAAGTCTGGACTCTCTTCAGTGAGGGATGGTGTTTAGAACCAGGATCTGGGTGCTGTGTCAACTTGTGACTGTTGGGTGTCATTTCTTCTAGGACCTTAGTAGTGGACAGAACTATGAAATATATATGTAAAACATGAGTTTACAATGATATTTCCAATTCAAATTTTATGTACTTTTTAGTAAAGAAAGTTTAAATCATAAAAGACTTTTTATTTATTTTTTTTAATTTTTTTAATTTTTAAAAGATTTTATTTATTCATTTGAGACACAGAGATACAGAGAGAGAGACAGCATGAGTGGGGGGAGAGGCAGAGGGAGAGGGAGAAGCAGGGTTCCCACTCAGCGGGGAGCCCAATGCGGGGCTCGATCCCAGGACCCCAGGATCACGACCTGAGCCGAAGGCAGACGCCTAACCATCTGAGCCACCCAGGCGCCCCCATAAAAGACTTTTTAATCTTTAAAAAAACCCCACTTATTTATTTATTTTAGTGGGGAAGGGAGGGGCAGAAGGAAGAGGAGATTCCAGCAGATTCCAGTTGAGCAGGGAGCCCGACATGGGAGCTCCATCCCAGGACCCTGAGATCACGACCTGAGCGAAAATCAAGCATCAGACGCTTCATCGACTGAGCCATTCAGGTGCCCCTAACCTTTCCTCAAAGTAAACATGTAGGGTTTGAACTCATGAGATTAAGAGTTACATGCTCTACAGACTGAGCCAACCAGGCACCCCAATCATAAAAAATGTTTTAAAACAAAAAATGTCACCGTTTTTATATTTGCATCTATTTTCACTTAGACTGAAAATAGTGGTTCCTAATGGCATATTTTTACTTATTTGCTTTTATCCTACAAAATAAATAATGGAGTTTCAAAATTGTGATATCGACCCTTGGTGCCAGTTGGCATATGCTGACTCAATTGGGATATTGGTAACATACAGGGAATTGAGCAAATAAGTAAATATTTTGAGTACAGTGAGAGCCAGGTTTCTCGCTATTGTGGGAGGGAGAAGACAAGAATAAACCATGTGGTGTTGGACCATAACTAGAGATATTGGTGTGAGGTTATGGTTTCTTTTTTTTTTTTAAGATTATTTATTTATTTATTTATTTGACAGAGAGATAGAGAGAGAGCACAAGTAGAGTGGCAGGCAGAGGTAGAGGGAGAAGCAGGATCCCCGCTGAGCAGGGAGCCGATGCGGGGCTCAATCCCAGGACCCTGGGATCATGACCTGAACCGAAAGCAGACGCTTAACCGACTGAGCCACCCAGGCGCCCCAAGGTTATGGTTTCTAATATACTTAGACACAGAATAGATATATGTGTGCATGTGTATTTACTCACGCCCATGTGTGTATATAAATATAAATATATCTCTTAGTTCTGTCAGCTGAGAGGGGTTGGAAGCAGTGACACCCTGCTTCCCTGCTTCCCAAATATCGTTCTTCACTAGGAGGAAACAGAGCTACGTGGGATAGGGCTGATGTTAGGCTGGTACAGGGAAAGTACAGGATGAGTCTGGAACTTCTTACGGCAGAAATAAGGAATGTAATCAAAGGATGATGAGGACACATCAAAGCACACATGAGTCAGTTTGTCCAAATCTGGGACAGTTTGGGGATCAAGATAAATAATGATTGGCAATAGATCATAACCCACTGAATAAAATGGAAATTAATGAGTTAATATGATATATATAAAAAGATGATGGGAAGTAAAAGCTTTTCCTTACAGTAGAATGCCTACTAGTAACTATGGAAGGAATGATGGAGAACTGCCATCGTGGTAGCAACTGATATAGGCAAGGGTCATCAATGGATGCCAAGAGCCACGGGTGCTTTTATGCTTGCGACTGGCTCAGAAAGAAAGAGCAAGTGAGCAAGTGAATGCCAATGACTGGGGAGTCTTGATGAAGAGTATTTGAGGGTGTTTTTTTTAGTATCATTTTATTTTACAGACTTATTGAGATATAATTCACATGCCATACCGCTCACCCACTTAAAGTGTACAATGCAGTGGTCTTTCTTATATTTATGGAATTGTGCAATTATCACCACAATCAATTTTAGAATATTTTCATCCCCCCCCCCCAAAGAAACCCTTTACTCACAAGCAGTCACCCTTGCTTCTCCATCTTTGTCTTTTTTTTTTTTTTTTAAGATTTTATCTGTTTATTTGGCAGAGAGAGAGAGAGCATAGAGGGGAGAGGGAGAAGAAGCAGGCTTCCCGCTGAGCAGGATCCCGGGATCATGACCTGAGCCGAAGGCAGATGCTTAATGAATGAGCCACCCAGGCACCCCTCTCCATCTTTCTTAATTCTTGCAAATTTTTGATAGTTGGAAATCTATTTTTTATTTTTATTTTACGTAGACTCCTCAGCCAGCCTAGAGCCGGTACCAAGAGTTGGTCGCTTAACCAACTGGGCTACCTAGACACCCTGATAATTTAAAAATTTTTATTTTTAATTCTTTAAAAAATCTTTCTTTCTTTCTTTCTTTCTTTCTTTCTTTCTTTCTTTCTTTCTTTCTTTCTTTCTTTCTTTCATCTAGAGAGGAGGAGTAGCAGAGGGGGAGGGGCAAGGAGAGGGAGAGAATCTCCATCAGGCTTCACATTGAGTGGGGCTTGATCTCACCACCCTGAGATCACTACCCTGAGATCATGACCTGAGCCAAAACCAAGGGTTGGTTGCTCAACTGACTTAGCCACTCAGGTGCCCCTTGAAAATTTTTTAAATAAAAGGTTATGAAATTACAATATCTGTTATTATGACCAATAAACTACTGAGTGAATGTTAGGATTTCTTTGCTGTTCTTTTGGTCACAGCCAAGTGATTATATTTTTACATTCTTGCACAGGTTCATTTAAGTTGGCTTTCAGTTTTGATGTTTTCACTTTTTGCTCTTTTTGATTCTATTTTTGGCGATATTAAAGATTTACATGATTGAAAGATCCAAACCCTGGAGAGAGCTAGACTGGAGGGGGGGGGCTCCCTCCACCCCTCCTCTTCATCCCCACCCATATTATTATTTGTAAACATTTCCAGTTTATCCTTGTGAGATCTTCTTGCAAAAATAAGCAAACACAAGGGGTGCCTGGATGGCTCAGTTGGTAGAGCATGTGACTCTTGATCTCAGGGTCCTGGGTTCAAGTCCCATGTAGGGCATAGTTCTTACTTAAAAAAAATATAAAGAAACACACACAAACTTATGAACACTCACAAGTGCACATACTCAGGGCTATGAACAGTCATACACATGTGCCAAAATGCACATACACAGTACACATTGACACGTGTGTGCGCACACACACATTTGTATCTCCTGTCGCTTTTTTCTTTTTTTCAGTAAACTCTACGCCCAATGTGGGGCTTGAGCTCACTACCCAGAGATCAAGAGTCACATGCTCTACTGAGTGAGATAAACAGGTGCCCCTCTCCTCTCCTTTCTTACAGAAAAGCTACCATGATATATATACACCATTCTACTTTTTTCTGTTTTCTTTTCCTTTTTATTTGATAAATTCTGGACATCACTTCACAGCCACTATTAGAAACTGTCCTCATTCCTTTTTCAGGTCACAGTTCTCTGCTGCGTGGGTTTTCATGGTTTATTCATTCAATGCCTGAAGATGGACTGCGGTTTCTGGTGGTCAGAAAACTAAGCTGCCCCAGTGTCTATTATAGCTGTGTCTGGCTCCCCCCCCCCCCACTCCAGAGGGGACCACCAGCAGAGTGTGGTCAAAGTCTTGGATTTTTGTCCATCAGGTAGTTGAGAAGTGGATCTGAGTGAGTTTCATTTTTAGTGGTGTTAATTTGCATTTTTCTAATTTGGGGCAAAATTGAACTCTTTTCCTTTTTTATTTCTGTGAACTGTGATCTGACTATATATCATATCTGTATCCCCCACTAGGTTGTCAGCTCCACGGGGCAGGGGGCTTTGCTTATTTTAGCTGTTGTATTAGAGTCTAGAAAAATGCTTGGGCGGTTTATGTACCAATAAGTGCTTTGTAGGGGAAGAATGGAAGAATGAATGGGGGACTAGATACATTCCTTACGCCTTTCTTGCTACGATCAAGCATAAACCAGGGAATAGTACAAACTCCAGAGGAAGAAGAGAGTACCACGGTGGGCCCCAAGGACGGTCAGAGGGGCCAGGTGAGCTCCAGCGCTGACCCTAGAAGTAATGGCTGAGGGGCGCCCTTTCTGCCACCCCATCGGATTCCGTGTGCCCCCGCCCCACACACCCTGTCTCTTGAGCTGCGCTCTGAGAGACCCTGGGGTCAGCGCAAAGGATTCCCGCAGCCCTCCTGGTGACCCGGTGCAGCCCCGCCATCCCCCCCCCCCACGCCTCTGCCGCCCCCCGCGATGGCCCCAGGGACTACAGAGGCGAGGTGGACTTGCATTCGTTTATTGGCCTGTCGGAGGGATGCTGGAGGGTTCGGGAAAGCCCGCCCTCCGTAGGGCGGCTGCGCTCAGCGGTACTTCTCGGTCAGGACGCAGGACACGATGGACAGGAACTTGTCCCAGGCGGTGTGGGCGTCGGCCGTGAAGTCGGCGGGGAAGTGCGAGGCCACGGTGACCAGCAGACAGTGGGACAGGAGCTGAGGGGCGGGAGCGCGGCTCAGTGAGCGGCCCGGGGGCGGGAGCGCGTGCTCTGGGGGTGGGGCGGAGCACCTTCGGCCGAGACCCCGCCCCTTCCCGCGCTCCCCGTCCCTGCCAGGACCCCAGGCCCCGCGCCCACCTTGAAGTTGACGGGGTCCACGCGCAGAATGTAGGCGTGCAGCTCGCTCAGCTTGGCCAGGGCGCCCGCGACGTTGTCGATGCTCTTGACCGCATCGCCCAGGGCGGCCACCACCTTGGCACCGTGCACGCGCAGGTGCACGGAGCCGGGGCGCAGGTCGAAGTGCGGGAAGTAGGTCTTGGTCTGCGGGTAGCTGGTGAAGAGCCTGCGTGCAGGCATCGTGTGAGTGCCAGAGGAGGGCGGCCTCCCGTCCACCTCCCCAAGATCCCTGCTTCCTTTCCTGAGCCTGAAGACCCAAATGCGACCTCGCCACGGGGCCTGCCAACTCAGCAGCTGCATCGCATTCTTGACACCCACTTTGCTCTCAGACTGCTGCCGCTGGCCCAAGCTTGGTCCCGTGGTCTGGAGGCCCTCTGCCTCCACACCCTCCCAGCACCCAACCTTGCCCCTGCTCCCCACCTCAGCCCTCTTCCAAGGTCTCCTTGCTCCCAGTTGACCCTGCAAACCCACTGTAGGGCTCCAGCCCCTTTTCACCTCTTGTCTGGCCACAGAAACCCCCTTCCCAGCCCCTGACCAGGCTTCCTGATGAACGGTCTGCCAGAAATAATGCCCTCTCCAGCCCTATGGCAAGGAAGATCTCTTCAGGGAAACTACCTGGGATCACCTTCTGGCAGGATTAGAGACCCTGATGTTAGTGCTTGTAGTCTCTTGACTGCCTCCTTAGGCACTTGAGGCCTTGGAAGAAACACATCCATGCTCCTCTGGGAAGATCCTGGGCCTGTCCCTGCTCAGGCCTCAGTGAGCATAGGGTCAGCCAGAAGTCCATGCAGTTCCTCTTCCCTCCTCACTGGTCTCTCCTCGCTGGCCCCTGTCCTCCCTGGCCCCACACCGTCACCTACCTGGCTCCATCCCAGCCCATCTGGCACTCACCTCTCCAGGACCTCAGTGCCAATGGCATCCTCCTGAGTGGAGATCTTGTCCCACATGGACAGGATGATGGTCCTCTCTGCCTTGGTCAGAGACATGGTGGTAGCTGAGCTGGGCGTGCTTAGGACAGGTCTCTGTGGTGCTCGACCCCCAGGATCCCTTTATATACACGGAGCCAGGGTGGGGGCTGGGCTGTGGCCATTGGTCTGGAGAGGGGAGAGGGCTGTGGGGGTGGGGTCTCTTATCAGACCCAGTGAGGGTGGGTGGTCAGGGGCTGGTGGCACTGGTGGGGTGAGGGGCCACCCACTCCTACCCAGGGCCTTAGAGGGGGTGTTGGCCACAGCCTGACCACAGTCCTGACGTGATAGGGGCCCAGCCAGCCCAGGATGCCATGCTTGTGTTTGTAGCCCAGCTCCGACTCTCCTCCTTCATTTCAGAATCACAGAATGGGGAAGCCAGGATTAGCTCAACACACACCGTGCTCAGGCTGGAACATGACGTGTTCTGCCTGCAGTGTTCCTTGGCGGGATCCTGTGGCTAGCACAGCCTGGTCACATGTCCGTCTCCTCTCCCTCTGGTTCTGTGATCGCTGGGTTTCCTTGAGAAAGCAATGGTTTTGCTCACCTATCGCTGAGCAGAGATGTACTGACGGTCCTCTGAAAAGCTGGGTGAAGTGTCAGATTAATAAAGGGATTCTTCTCATATCATGTGCTATTAGGGGTTGCGGGATTGCTCACCATATTATCGTTGTAACATAATGAGGCAAATACTCCTTTACATTTTATTTTAACATAAAACAAAATTGACTGTCTTTAGTGTACTGCTCCGTGAATTTTGACACATGTATAAATTCATTCACCACCCCCACAATCAGGACATACAGCAGCTCTATCACCCCCCAAAAACCTCCCACATGCTGCCCCTTTGCAGTCTCACCCTCCATGTGGAATTGGAATCTTGACACACTTTTGGCGAGAATGTAAAACTGTGCAGCCGCCGTGGAAAACAGGCAGTTCCCGAGAAAGCCTGGACACAGGGTTCCCATATGACACAACCATTCCACTCCTAGGTGTAGACCCGAGAGAAATGAAAACATAAGGTCACTCAAAAACTTGTGTGTTCATAGCAACATCATTCACAGTAGCCACAAAGTACAAACAAGCCCAATGCCCATCCGCTGATGAATGGGTGAATAGGACGTGGTCTAATCCATACAATGAAATAGTATTCAGTCATAAAAATGAAGTACTGATGTGTGAATGAACTTGAAAATACACATGTTGCGTGGTTCCATTCATCTGAAATGTCCAGAGCAGGGTTATCTACAGAGAAAGAAAGTAGATCAGGCTGTTTAGGCCTGGGGGTTGGAGGGGATGGCTGCTTGGGTATGGAGTTTCTCTTGGGGTGATGAAAATGTTCTAAAATTGATTGTGGTGATGGTTGCACAACCCTCCGAATGTACTAAAACACCCTGAACTGCACATTTTAGATGAATGAAATGCATGTTATGTGAATTGTATCTAATTATAGCTGTTTCTAAAAAATCAGTGAAAGCACCCCCTATACCCCATTCCAGTGTTCCCCAGGAAGTAACAGTAGTGAAGTCTTTCTCACCTCACTTTGACTTCCTGGTGAAGTCACCTGTTGCACCAAACCTGATTCCTGGCAGACCTGTGGGTAGGCACATGAGCATGAAACTTGTACACATTGGGAATGTCTCAGACATTACCAACAAACACATAGCCCTGCGTGGGGCTGCATAGCATTGATTTTATTTTTTCTCCAAAATTTCCAAAAAGAAAAATGCTGTCTTATTTTATGTTGCATTTCTCTGATTATTACTGAGGTGGAGAATTGCAACACTTGATTCTTTGCCAGTGTCTGAGAATCACCTCATTGCTTTCCCTATGGGTTGTTTGTCCTTCTTTGGTGGTTTGGGTGTGTTCTTCTTTTTGAGGGATAGTCACCCTTTATTACAGATTCTGTGAGCCTTTTTCCTAGTCTCATATGTTTTGGTTTTATGTATAATCAGAAGGTTTCTGAGTTCTCCTACAGTTACCAGGAACATCCCTAGAAAGGAAATAAGGGTGCAGCAGCAGGAGGTGAGCCTGAGGGAGCTGGGATGATGGGGAAGGGGAAACCTCTGTCTGGGGGAAGAGCCAGCTGAGGTCATGGGGGTCTCTCTACAGGGGCACTGAGAATCTGCGAGTACCCACATATGAGGTCCAGGACTCTGGCGCAGGCCTCCTTCCTCCAATTTCCCTGACCATGCTGCTGCCCCGTTGGGCAGTCTCATGACCCCAGGACTTGGAGGAGGAGGTCTGATGTCCAGTGGCTGTCCCTGGGCTGGGGGAAGGCCCAGACTTGGAGGAACCCAGAATTTTCCAATCACCCCCGCAGGGCCTGCTTCCTGCTCGCGGCCCTCATAAGAGCATTTGTTGTTTACTTTCCTGGCTATATGGTTAGTATCTTATCACTAATGAGATTGGAATCCATGAAAGGTAAAGGGAACCACAAGGACCCAGGCCACAGAGACCCCAGATGCATCCCTTCCTCGGCTGCCCTAGCAGGGCTTAGGTGCAGGGCTCTCCAGGGCTGGACTGGAGAGAGCAGAGGTCTGAATCCCACACCATCCTCATTGGTCTGCCTCATTGGGCTATTACAGAAGTCAGAACACGTTGTCATTCCCTGGCCAGTCCAGTCTGGTGTTGGCAGCTGGAGGGACCCGAGGGTAGGCTGGCCCTGCTTTGGGCCTCCCCATCTGTGACAGGATTGGGAGTGGGTGGTCTCTAAGTGTGGTCCTAGCTCAAAGCCCTCACAGTTGCCCGGACAATGATGTGCCCAGGGCCAACCTTTGCTTATGTCCTCGAACTTCCCTGCTAACACCCCATGCCTCTACATCCTCATTTTACACTTTAATAACTCTGCTTAGTAACCTACTTTTTTGAAAGGAACTGGATTCTTGGAAACCAAAATTCCTGACCCTTCCACACGACCTGGGTGCCCCCTGGACAGGGCTAGGAGGCCACTTGGCTAGTCAGGCCTTATCAGTCCTGCCACTTGTTCTGGGCCCCATAGAGCTGTCACTGTCTGTCAGAGGGCCAGGCGGGGCTCACATTCCCTATCTTGGACCCACCTTGACCTCTCCACCTTCTCAGCCACAGTGCTCCTGCCCAGAAAGAATCACCCACTCACAATAGTACTACAAGAATCTTGAATTCACGCTGCCATGTCCTGAGGTTCTATGGTAACAAATTTTCCCTCCTAGCAGTGAAGTGGGGGCTGTTTTTAAACCCCACCTGAGTGGTTGCTAATGTGGAACTGGGGTTTACAAGGTTAATTAGCCTGGCCAGGGCCACCCAGGAGCTGCTCTCAGGGGAGGGTCTCTGGATCCCATCACGGCCTTCTGCGGAGTCACCAGGGTCCCTCTGAGCTCAGCCCCAACTACACAAGCTCTGTGTGAGCCCAGGGCTTGGTGTTCAGCCAAGTCCAGCAGGTCTCAATATCCTGGAGCGCTGCCCAAGCTCAGGCTCCTTGTGTCACAGGTGGGAGAACCCAGGCCCAGAGACTGAAGAGACTTGCCTGAGTCCCAAAGAGCCAGCAATCTGGCCCACACCAAACCTAGGTCCCCTCTACCCACTGGGGCTGGTTCCCTCCTTCACTGAACCTTTGAACAATTCATAACCCTCCTGAGCCTCAATTTCCTTATCTTAAAGCATGTAATGATAATAAAAGAAAACTTCTCCCACAGAGAGCTGTGAGGGCCAAACACCCAACACGGAGAGTGTTTGGTGCTGTACCCAGAATTCAGACAGCACATGACAAATGTCAGCTAAAACCACACCTCACCTCACCTCACACGCAAGACCAGTCCCAGGTGGACTGTTGCCCGACTTGAAAGACCAAACAGTAAAGTTCTTAGAAAGCTAACATGGAAGGCTCTCTTCACCTCACAACACTTATTTCACTTTTTAGAAAATCGAGGTAAAATTAGCAGAATGCAAAATTAATCATTCCAAAGTGAACAATTCAGTGGCATTTTGTATATTCACCGTGGTGTGCAGCCATCCTCACTGTCTAGTTCCAGAGTATTTTCATCATCCCAAAAGGAAACTCAGTACCCTTTATGCAATCGCTCCCCATTCCCCCCACCCCAGCCCCTGGCACCCACTCATCTGCTTTCTATCTGAATGGACTTGCCTGTCTGGACATTTCATGTAAACGGAATCATACACATGTGGTCTTGGGTGTCTGACTTCTTTCACTTAGTATAATGTTCTCAAGGTTCATCCATGCTGGAGCAGGTGTTGGTGCTTTATTTTTTAAAAAATATTTTTATTTATTTATTTGAAAGAGAGATAGCACACAGGGAGAGTCAGAGGGAGAAGCAGACTCCCCGCCGAGCAGAGAGCCCAAGGCAGGACCTGATCTCAGAATCCTGAGATCATGACCTGGGCCGAAGGCAGACGCCCAACCGACTGAGCCACCCAGGTGCCCCCAGTGCTTTATTTTTATGGCTAAATAATATCTCATTGAATGGAAATACCATAATTTGTTTATTCATTCATCCATTGATGGACATTTGGCTTTTGTAAATAGAAGGTGCAATATTTTTAAATAGGACCAAAAAATAACTAAATTTGACTACATTAAAATGATAAACTGTTCGACAATAAAGAGGATTAAGAGAGTGGAGTCAGGGGCTCCTGGGTGGCTCAGTCGGTTAAGTGTCTGCCTTTGGCTCGGGTCATGATCCTGGGGTCCTGGGATTGAGCCCCGCGTTGGGCTCCCTGCTCAGAAAGGGTCTGTTTCTCTCTCCCCACTGCCCCTCTCCCCTCCCCCACCTCCTGCCCGGCCTCCTGCTTGCTCTCTCACTTGCTCTCTCTCTCAAATAAAGAAATAAAATCTTTATTTTATTTGGTGGCCTGTATATATTTCACAACGAAAAAAAGTAAAATAATAATAATAATAATGGGATGTTTGCCCATAACAAAGGTTTGTGGGGCTTGGAAGTTTCAGGAACAAAGAGGCCTCCAGTGGCTCCCCCTCCTTGTTGAGGCCAAGGATGGGGTGGAGTTTCTGCCAGGAGGGAGAGGAGGCCCTGAGGCCTGATGGGCAGTGAGGACCATCCCCCCTAGGAGGCAGCTGCCTGGGAGTGCCATCCCGGGGTCCACGGTCATTACCTTCTGTGAGGAGACAGGGCAGCCCTGCAGTGTCCATACACCACAGCTGGAGGCACATCCCTTCTCTGTGCTTCACCCCAGGCCTCCAGACTCCCTGCCTCTGCCTGGCCTTCCCTCTGACCCTCCGTCTCTTCTTTCTCACTCACTCATTCTGTTTTCTTTGCCAGTCTGTCTGCTTATCTCTGTCTCTCTCCCTGCCTCCCCCATCTCTCTCCTTTCTAGAAGCGGAAGCTTTGGGCACAGCCACACACCCTTACTGTAGGCCCACATGCCTTCTGAACCAAGCGACAGCAAGAGACGACCAAGGAGGGCTGGGCTCATCTCAGTCTGGAATAGACCCACAGAGGCACCACCACACTCCAGGCAGACACCCTAGAGCCCTCTGGGGTTGGCAGCGGCACGGCCCAGGACGGTTGGCAAACAATCAGAAAGCCAGGGGAGGGTGGGTACACCCCTAGGAGAGGGGAACCTTGCCTCATAAGGAGAGGGGGCAGCTGTGAAATGTAAATAAGGGAGAGACCAGGATGGAGAAGGACCCAGGCAGTGTTGGAAAGAGCTTCTGGGAAGGTGGACTTCACCTCCAGGACACACAGAGGTACCTGCAGCCAGGGAGAGACCCCGACCTTGTCTGCTGAGCTGAGCATCCATCAGACGCTGCCCCTGCCCTCAACCCCGGAAGACCTCACCATCTCACATCTCGGGCATGGAAGAAATGAGCACCATAACACGAGTAAAACGCCAGCACAGTGTCCCGCACACAGAAGGTGGTCAACACTGGCTGACGTTTAGGCACGTGTTTTCCATTTCACAGGGCTTGTCTAAACCAAATTTTCTCTACGAATAGTTCAGGAAAATATCTGTGATCAAAACTCCCTGTAGAGGAAACATTTGCTTCTGATTCTAAAAAGTCCAGCAGGATTTTGTGCAGATACCTCTTTGGCTGACTCTAAAATTCACATGGAAAGGCCAAGGAACTAGAATAACCATTTTAGAAACGAAGAATAAAGTGGAAGGAATGATATTACACACTCCTTTCACAGCTGTATTGAGATATAATTCACATAGCATGCACTTCACTCATTCACTCGTTTAAAGTGTGCAGTTCGGAGGCACCTGGGTGGCTCAATTGGATGTGCGACTGACTCTTGATTTCGGCCCAGGTCATGATCTCTGGGTTGAGAGACTGAGTCCCGAGATGGGCTCTACACTCAGTATGGAGTCTGCTTGTCCCTCTCCCTCCCGCTCTCCTTCCCCTGCTCACCCATGTGTGCATGCTCTCTCTCTAAAATAAATAAAATACATAAAATCTTTTTAAAAATAAAGTGTGCAGGTCAGGGTGTTTTAGTACATTCAGAAGGTTGTGCAACCATCACCACAATTAATTTTAGAACATTTTCATCACCCCAAGAGAAACTCCATACCCAAGCAGCCATCCCCTCCAACCCCCAGGCCTAAACAGCCTAATCTACTTTCTTTCTCTCAGATAACCCTGCTTTGGACATTTCAGATGAATGGAACCACACAACATGTATATTTTCAAGGTTCATTCACACACCAGTACTTAATTTTTATGACTGAATGGTCATTTCATTGTATGGATTAGACCACATTTTATTCACCCATTCATCAGCTGATGGGCATTGGGCTTGTTTGTACTTTGTGGCTACTGTGAATGATGTTGCTATGAACACACAAGTTTTTGAGTGACTTTATGTTTTCATTTCTCTTGGGTCTACACCTAGGAGTGGAATGGCTGTGTCATATGGGAACCCTGTGTCCAACCTTTCTCAGGAACTGCCTGTTTTCCACGGCGGCTGCACCATTTTACATTCTTGCCAACAGTGTGTCAAGATTTCAATTCCACATGCTTGCCAACACTTGTTATTTTGTCTTTCTGATTACAGCCGTCCTAGTGGGTGTGAAGTGGTATCTATTTTTGGCTTTGATTTGCATTTCCCTAGTGAGTAATGATGTGGAGCATCCTTTCATGAGCTTACTGGCCATTTGTCTGTATTCTTTGGAGAAATGTCCGTTCACATCCTTTGCCCACTTTTCCCTTCCTTCCTTCCTTCCTTCCTTCCTTCCTTCCTTCCTTCCTTCCTTCCTCCCTTCCTTTCTAGCATATCTATATCTATTATCTATCTATCTATCTATCTATCTATCTATCTATCTATCTATCTATCTATCTTGGATCTCTACACCCAAGGTGTGGCTCAAAATCACGACCCACAGAGATCAAGACTCACACACTACGGACTGAGCCAGCCAGGTGCCCTCTAAGACCATTTTTCAATTGGTTGTCTTTATTGATGAGCTCTAAGTTTGTTTTTGTTAATATATTCTGGATACAATTCCCTTATATGATTTGCAAATATTTTCTCTCATTCTGTGGGTGCTCTTTTTACTTTCTTTGGTGGTGCCCTTTGAAGCACAGAAGGTTTTAATTTGGTAAGTCCACTTAATTTTTTTCTTTAGTTTCTTGAGCATTTGGTGTCTTATCTGAGAACTCTTGCCTAGCCCAAGAACCGGAGGGTTTACTCCTACGTTTTCTTGTAAGAGGTTTATACTGTTAGCTCTTACATTTAGGTCTATGATCCATTCATTGAAGAGTTTTTTTTGTTTTTCCTTTAGTTCTTTACATGTCTTAAGTCTAAACTTCCGGCTCAAAGAAAGTGTAACTTTCCCATTCACGCTGGTGGGTGCGTCCCTTTGCCCCACGCGGGAAGTACACAGCCCGCGCATGCGCCCAACATCCCGAGAAGCCCCCTCCCCCCCGCCGTGGCGCACAGGTCGCCTGCGCCTGCGCCTGCGCCGACGGCCCCTGTCAGCGCGCAGGCGCCTTCTGCGCTGTTGCTTGGCGGTGTCGCGGAGGTGTTGCGAACTTGCCAGGACGTGGGTGGTGGGTCGTGGGTTTGGAAACGCCGGGGGTCCCGTCCGCCTGGCTCCCGGCGCCCCACGTTTCCACGGCCTTGGGCGCGTCCTGGTCAGGCCCCTTCAGCCCCGCCCTGGGCGCGTCGTCCCCCGAGCCTCCCGCCCTCCGGCTCATCCTCCTCAGGTTCTCCTCCTCCCGCCCCCGGCGCATCCTCCTCGGGGCCCCCGGCCCGCCTCCGCCCCCTCCGGCCCCCTCCGTGTCCCTCCCCGTCCCCACCCGGTCCCGGCCCGCCTCCGCCCCGGGCCCCTCCCCGTCCCCACCCGGTCCCGGCCGGTCCTCCTCAGGCCCCCGGCCCGCCTCCGCCCCTCCGGCCCTCTCCGTGTCCCTCCCCGTCCCCGGCCCCACCCGGTCCCGGCCCCCTCCGCCCCCTCCGGCCCCTCCCCGTCCCCACCCGGTCCGGGCCCGTCCTCCTCGGGGGGCCCCCCGCCCGCCTCCGCCCACGGCAGGATGGGCGACAACACCAGCCCCATCAGCGTGATTCTGGTGAGCTCGGGCAGCAGGGGCAATAAGCTGCTGTTCAGGTACCCCTTCCAGAGAAGCCAGGAGCATCCGGCGTCCCAGACAAGTAAGTGAGCGCGGGCGGAGACCCCCTGCCCTCCCCGCCTCGCACGTTCAAATGGAAGTCCTTGACTTTCTTCTTTTCCCGAGGATGTAGCCGATGCCTGCTCCATGCAGAGTATTTGGAAAGTACGGAAAATTAAAACCAGAGAAAAATCCCTCGTAATTCAACATGCCCAAGCCACTGTTGCCAACATTCAGCCATGTCTCCAGCCCTTTAAGAATGTATATAAGCATCGTGTGAATGTATTCAGCTTGAAAAAAATGTGAAAGTACAGATTCAGGTCAAGTGTTCTTCGGACTCCCCCCCCCCCCCCCCCCAGTTCTGCTCCTTCGCCATCGCGGGGGTAACCACCTGCCCTTTTGGCACTTGTCCCCTTCGTGCAGCTACGTATAGAATGTATTGTTCTGCAGGCGCTCTCTTTTCCTTGAGCACTTTCAGTGTATAAAAAGACCCCCGTCACTCACATACCCTTTCCCTCGGGACAGACGCTTAGGTTACTCGCACTTTTTCACAATTATGAAGGTGCAGTTCCTCATTTATGTTTTGTTTTAAAATTACTTTTAGATTTGTTAGCGTGGGACACAGTTTTAAAGGTACAAAGGGGTGTAGATGAAAGGAACGTCCTTTCCCACCGTTGAACCCCAGCCACTCCTTTTTCCTTGTACGGGCAGGTGCTGTTACCATTTTCCTGTGCGTTTTCCCAGAACCTTCCGTGTAAATACAAGCATGTGTACACATTTTCTTTTCTTCTTTCTTTTTCTTTTTTCTTTCTTTCTTCTTTCTTTTCTTTTCTTTTCTTTCTTCATGAGAGTCAGAGAGAGAGAGAGAGAGGCAGAGGGAGAAGCAGGGTCCCTGCCTAGCAGGGAGCCCGGTGCGGGACTCGATCCCAGGACCCTGGGATCGTGACCTGAGCCGAAGGCAGACGCTTAACCATCTGAGCCACCCAGGCGTCTCACACATTTTCTTTTCTTTTTAAAATTATGTGCTTTTTAAAAAGTTTTATTTTTAGTGATCGCTACACCCCATGTGGGGCTTGAACCCAGGACCCTGAGGTCAGGCGTCCCATGCTCTTCCGACTGAGCCAGCCAGGCACACCCACGTGCTTTATTTTCTAAGCAGAAGTGAACACATGATACACACGGTTCTACTCTGTTGTTTCCATATTCACTTTACATCTTGGATATAGATTTGGAATCACGATCAGAATCATGGGATGAACATACTGTGATTTATTTATTTAGTCTCTCTGTTGATGGGCATTTAAGTTGCTTCCAAACTTTGGCTAATACAAACAGTGTGAATGTCTTTGCTGTATACAGTATCATTTTTCAGAATATGGGATCAATTCCCCGAAGTGGGATGGTTGGATCTAGGGGATAACGAACATACTTATTTTTAGTAAATCAGATTTTTCTATCTTTGTTAATGAGATGGGTGAAAAGTTATGTCTGAAAGTGGTTTTCTGGGTTTTTGTTTTGTGTTTTGAGAGAGGGGGAGAGAGATGGCACGTGAGCGAGTGGGCATGCAGTGGGGGTGGGGGGAGGGGGGCAGAGGGAGAGAGAACCCCAAGCAGGCTCTGTGTTCAGCATGGAGCCCAATGCAGGGCTCGATCTCACGACCCTGAGAGCATGACCTGAGCCGAACTCAAGAGTTGGACGCTTAACCAATTGAGCCACCCAGGTGTCCTGAAAGTAGTTTTGATGCACATGTGTGTTATGACTGAGAGTGAGCATATTTTCCTCTTTTCAGAGCTATTTGGATTTCCTTTTTAGTGTACAGTTTACTCATAACCTTCGCCTAATTTCATCATGGGTTGAGTTTTTCCCTATAGATTTGAAGGGGCTCTTTATATATCTAGGGTAAAAATAGGCCTTTGTGACAAAGCCGTATGTTCTTAGCCAGTTTGCCTCTGTGAAGTTCTTGCTACATAGAGTTTTAGTTTTATGGAGTCAAGTTTTTATTCTGTTCTTTTGTGGTGTCTGAGTTTTGTTAAACGTAGGAAGGCCTTCTGCTCTCCAAGATTATGAACAAAAAGAACCAAGAGACTCTCGAGTTTTCCTTTCTCCTATTTATTATCTTGGGGTTTTTTTTTTTTTTTAGACTTTATTTATTTGACAGAGAGATAGCAAGAGCAGGAACACAAGCAGGGGAGTGGGAGAGGGAGAAGCAGGCTTCCCGCTGAGTGGGGAGCCCGATGTGGGGCTTGATCCCAGAGCCCTGGGATCATGACCCAAGCGGAAGGCCGATGCTTAACGACCGAGCCACCCAGGCGCCCCTATTATCTTGTTTTTTTAAATGTGTTTATCTTGTGTAAGGTGGAGGCTCCTGCTAGGAGTTGGTGTCTTCTTCACACTTGGAAGAGTTGTTTGTGCATGTCCAGGAGCGCTGTGAGCAGGTGCTGTGCTGAGTGAGGAGGGGTGTGGGGACGTGGGGCCCCACCGCTGCAGAGTGATTGGTTCAGGAGCCACCATAATTTTCTCTTCCCTCCCTGATTGATTCTTCTCCTTTATCATACACTAAATTCCATGTTTATTTGAGTTTATTTTGACCTTTCTTATTTCTCCCAATGATGTGGGTTCTGCACCGGTGAATTACTGTAACTTTACACTGTGTTATACTTTCAGATAGGATTAGTCACTTACCATTACTTCTCTTTTTCAGCATTATCCAGGCTGTTTGTGCTTACTGTTCCCTTGGAACATTATTAGTACTGAATGTATTGGGCCCTACTCCCAAACTGTTGATGTCGTTGTGAGAGTCATGTTAAATGGATGGGTTAACGGGGAACAAGTGGCATCTTTGTGTTCATCCCCCCTACTCAAGGGCATAGCATGTCTTCTTTTTGTTCATGTCTCCCTTGCTAGCATTTCTGATTTTCCTCATGGACCTCTTGCCTGTGATGAACTTCTTAAGTTCATCCCAGGGTCTTTATTACTCTGGTAAGGTATGTGAAGGATATTGGCATATGGACATTTAAAAATTCTTTCTTTTGCGGGTTGCCTGGGTGGCTCAGTCGGTTAAGCGTCTGCCTTCGGCTCAGGTCATGATCCCAGCGTCCTGGGATCGAGTCCCGCATCGGGCTCCCTGCTCCGCAGGGACCCTGGTTCTCCCTCTGCCTCTGCCTCTCTCTCTCTCTGTCTCTCATGAATAAATAAATAAATAAATCTTTAAAAAAAAAATTCTTTCTTTTGCCTATGCTTTTTCTGACCTAGTTGTCATCATATACTGAGAGGGTCTGTGTGTGTGCATATGTGTAATCCTTTTTTTAAAAAAAAAAAAACTAGCAAAAACATTTGCTGTTATCATAACTTCTTAGAAAATATAACTTTTTAAAAAACACTTATTTATTTGATGGGGTGCCTGGGTGGCTCAGTTGGTTAAGTGTCTGCCTCGGCTCAGGTCATGATCCCTGGGATCTGGGATCAAGGCCCGGGGCTGTGGGGCTCCCTGCTCAGTGGAGTCTGCTTCTCCCTCTCCCTCTGCTCCTCCCCCTGCTTGTGTGCTTTCTCTAGCTCACTTTTTCTCTCAAATAAGTAAATAAAATCTTTAAAAAAATTATTTGGTAGAGGGCGTGAGCATGGGAAGGGAGGGAGGGGCGGAGGGAGAGAATCTTCAGGTGGACTCCCCGCTGAGCATGGAGCAATCTCAGGACAGTGAGATCATGACCTGAGCTGAAACCAAGAGTTGGTCACTTCACTGACTGAGCCATCCAGTCACCCTGGAAACCATAACTTTTTTGAGAAAATTTTTGTTATGGTAAAAAATATATAACATAAAATTGGCCATTTTAACCATTTTTAAGTTTACAATTCAGTAACATCAGTTACATTCACCATAATTAATTTGCTGTTATGCAACTATCATCACTGTGTAGTTCCAGAATTTTTCATCACCCCAAACTGAAATTTGTAATCATTAAGCAATAACCCCGTTTCCTCTGTTCTCAGTCTCTGGTAACCTCTAATCTGTTTTCTGTCTCTCTGAGTTTGCCCACTGCAGATATTTCTTTTTTTTTAATTTTTATTTTTATTTATTTATTTGAGAGAGAGAATGAGAGAGAGAGAGCATGAGAGGGGGGAGGGTCAGAGGGAGAAGCAGACTCCCTGCCGAGCAGGGAGCCCGATGTGGGACTCAATCCCGGGACTCCAGGATCATGACCTGAGCTGAAGGCAGTTGCTTAACCAACTGAGCCACCCAGGCGTCCCGCCACTGCAGATATTTCATATAGGTGTAGTATTTGTCTTTTTGTGTCTGGTTTCCTTCACCTAGCATAATGTTTTCAAGTTCTCCATGTTCTAACATGTATCAGAACTCCGTTCCTTTTTATGGCCATTGTGTATATATACCACATTTTAGACTCCATCACTTTTAATGCATCCACCATCCCCCGGTAGGTGGACGGATCCTGATTTCTCAGCCACTCTCCCCTTTTTGCCCTCACTCAGATAAGCCTCGTAGCAGATATGCCGTCAACAACACTGGAGACCATGCGGACGACCAGGATGGTGATTCCAGGTAAGGGCTTTGCAGTCACGCTGCGATGGGGCTAGTCCTGCCCCCAGGCCTGTTGACCCAGAGGTTTTCTCCCGTGAGAAACCTGGTGTCCTTTTTTTCCATTTGGTGGGTGTTTCAGGTTTTGCAGAGCTGGGAATTGTGTTGCCAATGCCTGACTTGCTGCATAGTGTGGTCGCATGTTCCAGCTATGGAACTGGTTGGTTGGTAAAACAGACTGGAGAACAGACGAGGCCAGAGAGAACGTTTGTCTTCTGTGAGAGGAACGGGGGAAAGCAGACCCCGGTGCTGTCCTCAGACCCGACTCCTCAGGCATGTGCCCAGAGGTCACATGGAGGGGCCTGGGTGCAGCGCAGCCTGTTCAGGTGGTGCTGTGGGCTGAGAGCCAGGGCTGATGTGACCCTTGCTCTTTTAGGGCATAGATGAAAGGCAGGTCTTGTTCCTTCCTGTGTATGCCTCCCCTGCTTTTTCTGGGACGTGCTATCAGGGTGGCAAACATCACACATGACTACTTCTGCCTTATGTTTTTTTAAAGCTTAGTAAATGGTAACACAAGCCCAGTTGAAGGAGGAAGGATTGTAAACTGCCTGTCCTGGGTGCCTCTAAACACAGCTGGGGCCTGAGTGAGGGAAAGGACTCAGCCTCCACCGTCCCGTGGCCGCAGAGCTGAGGCTCCCACCTGGGCCTTTGCCATGGAGTGAACTTCGCATGGAGTGCCATGGAGTACAGCCTCCCTCAGTTCTCTTGACAAGGCACCATACCTGCCATGGTATTATGCAGTTCCACGAGTGTGGTTTTTATCCTTTCTTGTGAGGATATCGGGGCCTCTGGCATGACCAGTGACTGTCTCTCAGGGCAGCAAGCTTTGAAGGAGAGACCAGCAGGGGGGCGGGGTAGGGGGTGTGAGGGACTGTTGGACATCCATGGGTTGTTCTGCTTGATGTAGAAGCTGTGGTCACCTTGTCCTCTGAGGTCGGCCACTTGGAGCAAACTCTTGTTTGTTCCAGGTGCATAGAAAGCTTTTTGCCCCTGCCCATGGGATGGGTGCATTTTGTCCTCCACCTGTGGCATAGATTCCTTTAGAGCAGGGCTGGTTCCCTGCCTGCCGTTCTCCGGGCTCCACAGATGGGAGGCTCAGGCTGCTGAAAATGCAGAAAGTGCTCTTGGAACAGTCTATGTGGGTTTCCTAGGAGGCTGGCAGCACCTGACTCCTGCAGTTAACTCTCAGAGGCTTATAATAAAAGACTAAGAGAATGTTTTTAGGGAGTTATTTCAATATTTAGCGTAAAGAAGAGGAAAAACCATGGGAAGGGAGCAAGACATTATGGGTCTATCAGGGTATCACAGATACGCTGTTCACTAAGAAGAGCCGGTTCTCCATACTCTCTTTTTCATTAAATTTAAGAATTACTTCCTGTGGTAATTGTGGCACATTATAGCATCTGATGATCCCACTCCCCACCTGCCCCTGTGTCAGAGATACAGGTTAATACCTCTGAGTGCCCAGCTGTATTTCGTCACATTGGCCTGCCAAGCCTCTGACGCCTGGGGGAGCCGTGCCATGGCTCAGACATCTTCTTGGGGTAGTACAGGGTTGTCCTCGATGGTCCTCTCAAAGGTGCTTTTCTTTGGGAACCAGCAGAATGTTCTTGCTTGTTGTCTTGGCAGACTGAAGCCATGTTAACAGGCCAGTTGTGCAACTTCTGAGTGTGGTGGTAGATGGACGCTGCCCTAGAGAAGTGAGGCTGTGCTGCCCGGTATTAAAGTCACCATTTAAATAGAAATGACCTTAGATGAAATTCAGTTCCTCCTTGCACCAGCTGCATTTCAGGTGCTCGGGCCGCAGGTGACTGGTGGCTGCCGCACTGAACGGCTCAGATTTGCAGTAGGAGGTTCTGTTGGACAACACCGTCTTAGAGCGTGTGCTGCTTCTAAAGGTGAATCAAGATGTTATGCTTCAGGGTATAAGAATTAACTGGCAGGGTTTTTTTAACCCTTTTATTAAAAAAGCCTCTTATAGAATTCAGTAGGAAGGGAAGAAAATGGATATTGTTCATTGTCTTTAAGGCTTGAAGTTCAAATGTAGAAAAGCTGTAGTGCTCCTGTTGGATGAGTGCTGGGGACCAGGGAGCTCATGCTCTTTTTTTTTTTTTTTAAGATTTTATTTATTTGTTTGACACAGAGAGAGAGCGCAAGCAGGGGAAGCGACAGAGGGAGAGGGAGAAGCAGGCTTCCCGCTGAGCAGGGAGCCCGAGGTGGGACTTGATCCCAGGACCCTGGGATCATGACCTGAGCTGAAGGCAGACGCTTCACCGACTGAGCCACCCAGGTGCCCCTGGGGAGGTCATGCTTAATAGCATTATGCATCTGCCACACCAGCAGGGGAAAAACCGTCAGGAGAGGTCCTGGAGAAAGCCTGGTATCAGTCACAAACGCTGTCGCTGGCACTATCCCTCCCAACGTGGAGTGTTTTGGGCACAATCTCAGAGAAGAAGATGGTAGCTTGAAGAAGAGTCAACTTCATTTCAAAACACTCAGAAATCATTTTACTCTAGATACCATCCAGAAGACCTTGGAAGTGTGAAAGATTTTTGTCCACACCTTTAAATTCTCAGCATTGTTAAATTCCCTGTGGGGCAGTGGAATCAGATGGCACTCCTGCCTTCCTCAGGCTTGACCACCTTTCTCTAAGCAGTGGATTCAGCTTTGGGGCACATTCACACCCTCAGCCAGATGGGAACCTCGGCTAGGCGTGCCAGGGTGCAAACTGGCACATAGCTAGTCCTCTCCTCCAGGTGCACGGGGCTCCACCAGGCCTCTCTTGACAGCTTTGCTTCTGCTAGCATGTGTGTGGCCATGTGTTAGAAAGGTGGCTCGGTGAAGCGTCTGCCTTCGGCTCAGGTCATGATCCCAGGGTCCTGGGAGCGAGCCCCATGTCGGGCTCCCTGATCAGCGGGGAGTCTGCTTCTCCCTCTCCCTCTGCTGCTCCCCCTGCTTGTGCTCTCTCTCTCTTTCTTTCAAATAAATAGTCAAGGAAGGAAGGAAGGAAGGAAGGCAAAGGAAGGAAGGAAAGAAGGAAGGAAGGAAAGGGGAAGGAAGGAAGGAGCCCCTATTTCCTAGAGCTGGGGTCAGTGCCCAGAAGGTGGATAAGCAGTGCTGTCCCCAAGCTTGGGCATCCCCCACCCCTTTCCTGGCCCAGCCAGTAAGTACACTGGTGCGTCCGCTCTGGTGCATGCAGGCTGACAGTGTGCTGGGACAAGTACAGGGTTGGATTTTGGGTGTGACTCTCATTTTGCACCTATAGTGTATAGTCTTGGGCATGTTCCTCGTACCATGAGCCTCAGTTTGGGTGTCTTAAGATGCCTGAGGGTGGCAAGGCACCTCTGCCTCCCCTCCCAGGTCTGGTATCATGGGAACATCTGTGTCTTGGTGAGAGTGCTTGCTGGGGGCTCTGCCTCCCACACAAGGGCAGACACAAGTTCATGACACATGCCAGGGGCGTTTGACACGTCACCTCCACAGCCTGGTATGGAAAAGAGCACTGCTGATACTCGGAAGCCCCACACGCTTCTTCCCTTTGGAAAGTAGAGGGGTTTTGTTGTGACCTGTTGGTTGTAGGAGATAAAAGTTGGAGGAGTTGCACTTGAGCCTCTAGGGATTCTGACTTTCTGGGTGATCTTGGGAAGGTCCACAGAACACCTTCCCCCTTTCATACTGTGGACACTGATAAGCTGACGTTCGGGAGCTGTTGAAAAAGGGGCTCTTGGCTGTGTGCTTCTGTCCTGTGGGTCTGTGGTATATATTTCTCGGTGAGAGCTGTGGGGAGCAGCAGGGCAGCCCGGTGGTCATGGCACGGGGTCGTGGTAGGCTCTCGTCCCTCCAGTGCTGTTCCCCCTCTGGGGTCTGGCCTGCTCTCTCTTTCCTAGATTCCGGGACTGTCCCAGAACACTCTGTAGAGTAGCTTGACTCTTCTAAACGTACTCTCTGCAGAACTAAAGTTGCACAGTGCGCGGGTGTGGCATAGCATGTGCATGGGTGCCACAGCCTCCTTGCTGCCAGAGGGCCTGTGGTCCTGTGCGGAGCAAAGGCTCGGCGAGTTTGGGTGTGCAGGCAATCACAGTACCTCAAGGGTTGAAGCTCCGTACGGGGATCTCACGGGATCTCAGAGACGGTTTTGTCAGAAAGACTAAAATGCTTGTGCATGGGTGTCCAGCTAATATGTGTGGTGCTGGGCTCTGACCCAGGTCTTCCAGCCTTGCTCTTGCTTCTGAAAATTGGCTCTCAGTTGTGCCCAGGCTCTGTTTACATGTGGGAACTTAAGCTTTTGTGAGAAAAGTCTGGTAAGTCTTCAACTTGGCAATTGTCTGTATCTTCTTTCTTGTCCGGTAAGTTGCTTAGCCTTGCCCTCAGCAGTTAATGCTTATGGTAGTACTTGTGCTAGACTTTAATACTGTTTTAATAAAACAGCCTTGTAACTATTCGTGATTTTTAAAATCAGTGTGTTTGTTTGGTCTTGATGGTCCTGTTCCCATTCCAGCGAGCCATGTCCTCCAACCGATGAGCGATTGGTTGCAGGGTAAGACCGACACTTCTCCACCACCTTTCTGTCTTGATTCCTGCTGCCTTCTCTTGTAATTGTGCTTAACTCCTGATTGCCCTCAGTGTTGAAGAATGACTAACGAGGCACACAGGCTCTGGCTCGGTCCTCACTGCCCGATCCCCCCACGAGTGCCCCGGCTTCCCATGGCCCCTGCCCTTTCTCCACCTGGAGTTACTCAGCTATTCCACATTACCTGGGAGGCCAAGGCAAGGTTGGCTGACGCCAGGGAGACTTCTGGAGCCAGGCGTGCACACAGACCGCCCCTCCTCCAGGCAGGCACCGGTGGCCTCAGGAAGGTGGTAGGCAAGCGAGAACAGGGCTCCCTGTCTCCCTAGCCAGCTTCCCCCTAGAGAGACCCTTGATCGTTGCTTCTTGCCTTCATTTCTCAGAGGAGTTATAGGAGGCCTCTCCCAAGGGCCAGATGTTAAATGTGAGGCTTGGACTTAGATGCCGTTGTGTGTGCCCATTAGAGGCAAAAATGTTCCCATGGAGATTATATGGCACTTCTCCAGAAGGGTGTGGATACTGTGATACCCTTTGTGCCCCTGATGGGGCAACCCCCCTGGGTGTTGGAGGTGCTTGGAGCATCTGTGAGCCCCCCCCCCAAAAAAAACAGGAGGGAGTGGAGTGGAGTTCCCTTCCATTGCTGTCTCTTCCTCCTTTTTTTTTTCCTGGCCAAGCCCTAGAAAAAGCCCGTTCCTGAATATCCCAGCAGGAATGGAAAGTCTTGCCTGTTTTTCAACTGGGCTGGTTCATCTCAAATGCTTTTATTTTTTTTTAATTTGAAAGTTATTCCAGGAATATTAGTTTTTATAACAGCTATTTTATTGTGTTGCAACATATTTACCAGGCCTTTTATCTTCAAAACAAGGGAAAAGGATTTTTGTAAATTTTGGAAACAAATACTGTCCCTCGTTTTTGTTTTACTTTGCTGTTTCTATCAGTTATATCCCCTTCCCCCAAATCTCATGATAGAACTCTGTGACTTTGTGTGTCTGATGTCAGCAGACACAGTACAGAAAGTATAAGCCACTCAGGTATTTTTTTACCATAAGTGTGTAATACCAGGCTACAGTGAGTGGATTTCTGTGTGGGTCAGACTGCTCATAGAGCAGAGCAGCTGAACACCACCCCGCGGGCCACCCCAGAGAGGCCTCCCTGATGGCCACCTAGGGCAGTGTGGCTTTTAACGTCAGCAGTACATGGCTCTCAAGCTGGCCCCCTCTGCTCTGTCCTTTCTGGACCCAGAGGGGGAAGTGTTTTTTATTTGGCTCTTGGAAGGGTACCTCTTGGATCTGGGTATTTATAAACGTGAACTGGGCCACTACTGTTGGCCTCTGAATCTCAGGGCTCATCTCACAGCCAAACTTAGGTTCCTGGACTGGTGGCTAAAGGCCATGGCTGAGGCCCGTCTATGGCTCTTCATGGCGGAGCAGAGGTTTTTAGTGGAGATTTTTCATATCACAAGAAAAAGTGAACCTCTGGAATGGTAGGAAGTTGTTTTTCTCTCCGCCATCTTTGTATCCCTTGTATCACTGGGTGACAGAGTGGAGGGGTCGTGTTTGTTGAGATAGGGTATGGAATGTTGGCACTGGATCAGTTACTAGAGCAGAAGTGTTTAGTAGGGTTTTATCATCCTGAGCCCGCCCTCACCATCACTGTATCCCTCAGATGGGAGTTACAGGGTGGGGTGAGCCATTTAGAGTTTTTGAAGAAAGCATGTAAAGCCTCCTGTCTAAGACTCTGGAATCTTCCATCTCTGGTTTATTCACTCTAGAGAGCAGTATTCCTGGGAATGAGTGACCCACATTGGGCAGCCAAGGGCTTGAGCTGTGGGTCCCGAGTTTCCCAGAATGTCTCTGACAACATTGGTATCAGAAGGTCCAGCTGCATTCCTGACTATACAGGACGCAAGGCAGCCCGTTTTGACCCAGACCCCTGTATCTGGTTTGTTTGGGGACCACAGAGTGACCAAGGACACCGAGATGACCATGTTGGTCCTAGGGGACAGCTGGAAGCCAGCATGACCAGCCCCCCTTGGCAGTGCTAGGCTCCCCGGCTGTCTAGCGGAGAGGCTTGGGAAGAGTCCCATAGCTGCCTGTCTCGCTTTTGTCCGTGTGCTGGTTGACCACAGTGAGGTTCTTGCTCCAGGCTGGTTCTAAGTTACCTCTCTTACATTAGACATTGAGCCCTGCCAAGTCTAAGGGGCCCAGAGCCACGACCCCCTCCTAGATCACTTAATGTCCAAGTCATTTGCTATTTCAGAGTTGAACTGAAGCTGCAGTCTGCAGCAGGACCTTCCCTTTTGGAGTGTTAGGGTGTTCATTGCCGCCCTCCCCCACAGCCAGCTCCTTTAGAAGAGAAACATCTGGTGTGGTCCCTGATTCACCGGAGCTCCTCAGTGAAGGCCCAGGATGCACCCTGGAGTGTCTGTCCTCATTGGCCTCTTCGGGCAGAGCGTGGCCTTGAAGGAGCTGGAGCCACCTTCCCCCACACAGTGTGCCCTTCGACCTGGGTGTTAGAGATGCTTTCCCAGGTGGAGAAATGAGCACAGGACTTGTCTCCTCCTGGCTCCTGATCAGACACAGCACATCAGTGTTTCTAGAGTGGAGGCCCCTGGAGCCTGGGCTCCGAGATAAGAGTCCACACTGCACCCCCGGCCCTCTCCTCCCTGTGGTGACTCTCGCTTATCTGGATCCCCTTGGGCAGGAAGGAGCAGGGTTGCTAGTGGGGAAACATAAGTGCACAGCTGCATCTTGAATGGGGGTGAGCTCTACAGTTTTACAGAGATCGTAGCCAGATCTGCTGTCCCACCACAGCCATGCCTGCTTTTCCATGGCATCCAGTCCTGTGCATCCCCACCTTTGTATCGTGTCTCTGGTTCTGCACATTTTGCACATCTTAAAGGTTTCCCCAGTAAGAACTAGAAGGTTGAAATGTTGAGCGTAAGGGAACGACCGGGCAGCCGTGCCATGAGGAAGGTGATGAGCACACTATAGTTAGTATTGTCCTTTACTCACCTGGGGGTGGAGCGGTGCAGCCTGGCAAACCCGGGCCGTCAGGAGACCCCTCCCCACACCTGTGCGCCTTAACGAGTGGCCCTCAGGACGGTGCCGGCTCCAGCTGTTGTCCTCCCTTTGAAAGCAAACTGCAATTCGTTCTCTCTCCTGAATTTCATAGAGCATGCCAAGAAATGACAGCATGTGCCTTCAGTCTATGCTTCTCATGCCTTTTACCTTGTAATTCTGGTGATTTTATGTCCCCAGTCTTGGGGATCGCTTCAGAAGGGCAATTGATAGAAGCTTCCAGATCCGCAGTGGGGGTAGAGCACTCCACGCACGGTACTGCCATGTCCTGAGACCTTTCCCCTCTGAGGGCAGGTGGGCATGGTACTGTGGCACTTTGTTTACTTACTTCCACTCTGCCTTTTTTTAATTTTAAGGTTTTCGGATGTCATTCTGGCAACAATTTTGGCAACCAAGTCTGAAATGTGTGGCCAAAAATTTGAACTGAAGATTGATAACGTGCGGTTTGTTGGGCACCCGACACTGCTGCAGCATGCTCTGGGGCAGGTATGGCCCTCCCTGGGCAGGTGGGGCTCTCCCTGGGGCAGGTGAAGTTCTTCCTGGGACAGGTGAGGTTCTTCCTGGGCAGGTGGGGTTCTCCCTGGGGCAGGTGAGGTTCTTCCTGGGCAGGTGAGGTTCTTCTTGGGACGGTGATGTTCTCCCTGGGCAGGTGAGGTTCTTTCTGGGCAGGTGAGGTTCTCCCTGGGGCAGGTGAGGTTCTTCCTGGGCAGGTGAGGTTCTCCCTGGGGCAGGTGAGGTTCTCCCTGGGGCAGGTGAGGTTCTTCCTGGGACAGGTGAGGTTCTTCTTGGGACAGGTGAAGTTCTCCCTGAGGCAGGTGAGGTTCTCCCTGGGACAGGTGAGGTTCTCCCTGGGCAGGTGAGGTTCTTCCTGGGCAGGTAGGGCTCTCCCTGAGCAGGTGAGGTTCTCCCTGGGCAGGTGGGGCTCTCCCTGAGCCCCTGAGGTTCTCCCTGGGACAGGTGAGGTTCTCCCTGGGCAGGGGAGGTTCTCCCTGGGCAGGTGGGGCTCTCCCTGGGGCAGGTGAGGTTCTCCCTGGGACAGGTGGGGTTCTCCCTGGGACAGGTGGGGTTCTTCCAGGGGCTGGTGGGGTTCTCTAGGGGCTGGTGAGGTTCTTTCTGGGACAGGTATGGCCCTCCCTGGGCAGGTAAGGTTCTCCCTGGGCAGGTATGGCCCTCCCTGGGAAGGCATGGCCTATCCTGACCCTGGGGCCCTCGGGGAGCCGTGGCTCACACTGGCTCTGGTGAAGGCAGCCATCGAATCGTGCCATATATCTGACCCCGTGCGTGTGTCCATGCGTACAATCACCTACATGTCCCCATAGGTCTCCCGTGGGTTCAATCCCTGCCCCTGGCTTTTGCTCTTTGCATCCTGGGTCTCTCCTGACTGCCACCTTCCCCTTTATATCTAGGACATCTGTTTCTAAAGTGGTGCAAGTATTTTTTCTTGCTTATTAAATGATGACATAGCAAATATGATTAATTTAGTTCTTACTATTGTGCTAAACCCTGTATGTGCATTCTGTGATGAATGAAATTGTTACAGTATTGAGGGGTTTTAACAAGATTGAATGCACTGTTACCCAAGGGAATTTGACACCAGAACCTGCTAGTCAGTCCTTTGCACACAGTACAATCAGGGCTTTGATAAGATGGCATAAGATTTAGCTCCATTTATATGATCCAGAAATTGCAGTCCTCAAATCTTATCCATGAATATGCCCGTGGAAGGAGCTTCTGAGGCAGTTGGAGATGCCAGGACATCAGGCCATGGCTGGGTGCACTGGGCCCCATGGGCGGCTCCTTCCTCTTTACCAAGGCCCCTACAGACAGAGCTCAGTCTGTACGGCTGACGTCTGGGTGACAGAGGGGAGATTTGACATCCTGCCAGGAGTCATACCCTACCAAACTGGAGTGACAGGCAGAGATGGTAAAGAGCCTGCTTGGGATGGCCCAGAGAGATGTGGCCACCACCCCCTCACGCACACTCCCATGCCCCCTGGTGGCAACACGTATTCAGCTTGGTGTTGGTGACGTGCGGTGGCTGGATGCTGGAGCAGCAGCTTGGTCTCTGCTGGCTCTGAGCATTATCCTGTCTCTTAATCGTCCTGAGTGGTTGCCATACCTGGCGGAGACAGAGGACCCAGGTGGACACTGAAAACAGCAGTGGGGGAGGGAGAGTCTGGGCAGAGAATACCCCATCTGCTCGAGCCTCTCCCCATCTTGTCTCGCGGGGGCACCTCAGCTCACTCCCATTGACTGGGGTAGTCTTGTCACTTTGGGTTATAGCGCTGACCCTCCCACTCTAGTCTCACCCGTGTCTCCGTCTGTGCTGCCTGTGCTTGCCCATACAGAGGCAGTGATCACTTCTCAAAGACCCTAGGGCTCTGTTTTTCTCTGGGTTGGCTATATTCTGGAACCTCTCCCCATGCCTGATGGATAGCACTAAACAGGATTTCTTGGGATGTGGTGGCTCTCACTCATTAGAATGTATTTCTTTTCTAGGTTTCCAAAACAGATCCATCTCCGAAGAGGGAAGCTCCCACCATGATTCTTTTTAATGTGGTGTTTGCACTGAGGGTGAGAGAGTGTACAGATGGCTGAAGAGCCCTGGTAGATCGGGGAGGAGGGTCCGGGGAGAGTAGCAGCCCCTCACTTCTGGTGACTGTGTCATTGGCTCAGAGCTCAGACTGCCCAGCTGTTGCCAGGCCCCTCCTGGGGTCCTGCAAGAGTCTACCCATACTGTGTTTTCTAAATAAAATACACGTAGTATTTACCATTTTAACCATTTTGTAGTGTACGGTTCAGTGGCTTTAGGAGCAATGTTGTGTAACTCTCACCACTGTCAGTTCCAGAACGTTTCATTGCCCCAAAAGGAGACCATTTATTCCTCATTTCCTCTCCTCTCCCAGCCCCTGGAAACCACCAGTTTGCTTTCCTTCTGTGGATTTACCTATTCCGCATTTTCATAGAGATTGGATTCTACACTATGTGACCTTTGGTGTCTGTCTGCTGTCACTTAGTTCATCCATGTGGTAGCATGTATCCGGACTTCATTCCTTTTTGTGGCAGAACCGTATTCTCTTGTACGGGTGGACCACAGTTTGTGCATCATCTGTTGATGAACGTTTGTGTTGTCTCTGCAGTTTGGCCATTATGAACGATGTATGTTCATCAGTACAGTATTATGACCAATGCTGTTACGGACATTTGTGTCCAAATGTTTGTGTGGACACATGTTTTCATGTCCCTTGGGTATACACCTAGGAGTGGAATTCCAGGGTCCTGTTGAGGAGCTGCCAGACTGCTTCCCACGGTGGCTGCACCATCTTTCCTCCCCACCAGCAGTGTGTGAGCGTTCCAGCGTACCTACCTCCTCACCAGCACTTGTTGCTTTCCATTTTGTTTTTAATGATTAAGCTCATAGTTTCTTCGGGCAGTTCCCAGACTGTCTGAAGTTGTGTTAGAGGAGATTTCTTTTCAATGAAGCTGTCAAAATATAAGGGATCTAAATAAACATAAAAAGCATCCCTGGGTAAAGACTCACTCATATTATGAAAGGACTTTGAATTGCCTAGGAAATTTATATTTGGTGACTGTTACATAACGGAATTCCTCTGAACTGTCCCACTACCTGTTTGTGCCAAAATACTCAGTAGTTCTTTCTGGCTGGGCACATGTGATCTGCATGATGGCTTTTCACGGAAGTGTCCCAGACAGAGTGACTGGCCTCCGTGACGAGGAGCAGTGTGTGCTCTGAAAGCCTTAAGAGTGGCCGAAATGACACTAAGCAGAGGACGCTGGTAAAATTGGGTGTCATTCTAAGTCTCGAGGTGCTTTTCTCTTGAGAGAAGACCACATTCACTGTGAACGGCTCAAAACCAAAATGATGCCAGAGAAAAGGTTCTTTGGAATGGAGCTAATTTTTATTTTTATTTATTTATTTATTTAAGATTTTATTTATTTATTCATGAGAGACACACAGAGAGAGAGAGAGAAGCAGAGGGAGAAGTAGGCTTCCCGCTAAGCAGGGAGCCCGATGCGGGACTCGATCCCAGGACCCTGGGATCATGACCCGAGCCGAAGGCAGACGCTCAACCATCTGAGCCACCCAGGCGCCCGGAGCTAATTTTTAAAACTGGCCTACCTTGCTGATAAATAAGGAGCCGCGTTAAGACAAAGTGATGGGTTAACAGCAGCTGTCCCTGGGGTGTGCGGTTCCAAGTGGAGACCTTGACTTTTACAGTCTTGGGATTTTCATAGTGTAAATAGTACAGGGCATGACTTCTAAAATGACATACTGCAGACACCCAGAGAGAGCGGTCCGTTAAGTAAGAAACAGCCCCGACAATCCTGGCGAAGGCTGTCCCGGTGGGTGGCCTTGAGAAGCCGCTGCGGCCCCACCCTGCAGGCAGGCCCTGGTCTCGGGAACAGCGTTCAACAGCAGCATGTCTGACACCCCTGGGTACAGCTGTCAAGAAAACAAGCGGATTTTAGGGTTGTAGGGAGACCTTTATGATAATAACCAGGCTGGAAACAGTGCCTGTGTCCAGCAGCTGGGGGCTGATGAGACAGGGTGGTAGTTACTATGTAGCCCAGCCTGTGGCTTTTGAAGGTGAGGCTTGGGGGCGAGGCCAGAACCTGGAGGAGGAGGGTGGATTGCTGCAGTAAGAAACAAGGTAGCGCAGGACTTCAAGTAGCAAGGGGCCATGATGTTGAAGGTGGGGTGGGGGGGGGGTGGGGGGGGAGTTTTAAATAATGTAAAGCGCTGATATTTTTAGGGTAGGAAGTTATTTTCTCCTTTTTAATAGTCACATTAAAAACATATACTTTTTTTTACTTTTCACTTTGAATAGTTTTAAACAAATCCCCAAATAGTGACGATAGTTTGATTAACCTCATACACCCGTCTCTGATGTCCCCTTGCCGTCACCGGGACACCCTGGCTTCTCAGGTGTTTCAGGACAAGTCCCAGACCTCATGTCTGCTCATTTCTATGTACTTCGGGTGGCATCTCTGTGAAATAGGAACATTTATCTTCTACCGTGATACCCTTTCACACCTGATAAAGTTTGCCGTAATTTGGTATCAGCTAGTGCCTAGTGGCCATAGTTTTTGCCCTTGGCCTGTCTGGACCAGGTTGAAAACCTCGCCCTCACAGGTGTGTGGGCTGTGTCTATAGGTCTCTTCCAGTCTAGGACTCTCTTCTCCCTTCGTCCGATTGAATGGTCCATGTCTGCATTCATCTGATCGTGCTTACTGTCTGTTTGTGTATTGCCTGCAAATTGGACATTTGCTCTAAAGGCCTTACTACATTTCGGTGCACTTTCTGGGAGCGAGAAAAGTCTCACAGGCGATCCCCTAAATTTCCTGCTGTTTCACATCACCTGTGGGGCAAATTCTAAGAGTTCCCACTTAGGGCCGGCACGTCCTAGGTGGTCCCTTTCTCACTGTGGCCAGACAAAGCCTTGGGCTCTGCAGGCACCTTGAGTGATGCCTGGCCTGTGAAGCCACACAGGATACCCTAGCATACCCCATCAGTGTGGGTCATCGGGCCTCGCCTGGGTGAGCACCCCCTTGCACGCCTGGGAATGTAGAACTGGTGGGCTCGGGCATCTGACTAAAAACACCGTCCTGTTCCAGCCACTGGGACCGTGAGCATAGGGTCAGGCTGTCAGGTGTGACTTGATTGCTTCTTTAAGGGAATAACCATGTGCATGCGATCATTCTCCTTCCTCTGTTTTGCTGCTGACAGTATTTTGACACAGAGTCTTCTAGAAGTGTATTTTGTTGTAAAGCAGTTGCACATGCTTTATAACCTAGGCCCTCTAGTTCCACAGTCTTGTGGGGGACATTGTTGAGGGGCTGTCCTTGACATGAAGGGGCAGGATTGCTGCCCAGTGATGGGCATGGCCTGAAAGTGGTGTTTAGTCCTCTCCCCAGCGCAGGTATGCTGTTGTCAGGTGTGGATTCCGTTTGTGAACATGAGATCTGCTAGGAGTTCAGAAAATCTCTCCAAATCCAGGTGATGAAGGTGTTCACTGAGTCTGGTGTGGGTTTTGGTCCAGAAGGCTAGACACCTTGCTGGAAGGGCCCTGCCTGCCAGATAAACAGGAGGGGAGGCTGTACTAGGGGTTTTAATCGGTGGCACCATGCGTCCCTCTCCCTTCTCCCACCTCCACCCCTCGGATGACTCAGCAGCCCTGTCGGCCTCCTGACACACTGAGTCATGGTTGGCCGGTTATCTGCTCTGTGGAGCATCTTCAGAGACCCTACAGCTGCCTGCTCCACCCCTGGCCTGGGTGGGTGTGCCTGCCTGGCCTCGCTGCGGCGTCTGATAGGTTCCAGAGTTAGCACAGGGGTGCCCGGGGAGCTTGTGGGGAGAGGGGTGGCCTGGAGCCTGCTGACTTCTTCTGTTAGCCAGGCTTGTTTCTGCTGGGAAGAGCCTCTTCTCCTGAGGACAGTGTGCTCAGCAGACAGTTGGCCCAGTGCTTGTGTTTACTACGCTCCGTGACCCTGGTGTAATGGGTCTGTGTGGTTGAAGTCTCACGAAGCCTGGTCCTGCCCACCAAGTCAGCTGTACACCCTGACTGCAGACACTGCTGGGGTTGTGCCCTGGATAGGCTCTGTCAGACTAACTGGTGAGGGAGGGCCCCTGTTGAAAGTTCTCAGATGGGAGCCTGGGGTCACACAGCAGGTGGGTCGGCTGCCCCGCCGCCCCCGAGTGCTGCCCCTGCCTGGACTGGAGTGGAGGCCGGCTTGTACCCCGCCGTCCTGGATGGCCCTGGTGCGGTGCCCTGCAGCATCTCTGCTTGTCGGAGATGCCTGTGTCCCCCCACCAGCTGGGGGGCCCCACAGAACCACCTCTGGTTGCCCTGCAGGCAGCCATTCCCGAGCTGGGATGCTGAGCACACTTGTGTTTGTGTGGACAGACCTTGGAGGGGACACAGGGCCGGGGACCGCAGCGGCACCTGGAGGGGGCTGTGCGGGAAAGGAGGAGAGGGTTCCTCGTGCCCTGGGTTGGCCGTGCCTGGGTGCCGTCTGAGTCCCACGTGGCCTCTCCCGCAGGCCAATGCGGACCCGTCGGTGATAAACTGTCTGCACACCCTTTCCCGACGCATCGCCACCGTGCTGCAGCATGAGGAACGCCGCTGCCAGTACCTCACGAGAGAGGCCAAGCTGATCCTGGCGCTGCAGGACGAGGTGTCCGCGGTGGCTGATGGTGAGCGCTGCGGGAGTCTCTCTGCTCCACACACGCACCAGGGGCCCCAGTCCAGGTTTGCAGATGCAGAGACAGGCACCAAGGCCATATGTGCTGGTCTGGTGATCTTCCCTGCGAAGGGAGGACGCCCCAAGGGACACAGCTGGAGAGCAGCTCTGAACTGATGCTGGAGATGGATCCCCAGCCCGAACGGCGCCCCGCCTCCCAGCGGCACTGCCCCACGGCCTGTGGTGGGGGGCCGTGCGCAGGGGCTGCTGGGAACGGGGCTGGCAAGGTGGGCCCTTCCCAGTCCCTTGCTTCCAAGTGAAGTGAAGGAGGACCTAGCTGAGTTACCAACGGGCCGATTATTAAAGGTATCATTTGCCAGTAGATCCCCCTGTGGATTTTGGCATTCCATAACACCTCTAAGCACAGAGAAACGCCTACTTGCGACACACTCCATCTCCATCTCAGGTCAGCGCCTCTGAAACAAGAGAAAACCAGAAACAGGTTTGAAGGTGACCCCGGTGTAACTCTAGCAATAAGTGAAAGTAGTGATCGGCGTACGGGAACTGTCCCACTCAGGTGCATTTTCAGTGAAAACTTGCTTTTTATATTTGACAGCTGTCAAAATGTATAATGTTTTGGCCAGTTATGTGTTGATTAATAACAATCCAGAAGCTGTTTAAAAAAAATTCTCTTTAGAGTCTGACTTTATCACAGAAATTTTTTTTTTTTTTTAAGATTTCATTTATTTGAGAGAAAGAGCGTGCAAGCAGGGGGAGCGGCAGAGGGACTCGAACCCAGGACCCTGGGATCATGACCCAAGCTTAAGGCAGACGCTTCACCAACTGAGGCACACGGGCACCCCTATCACAGGAAATTTTTTTTACAAATTCAATTTAACTACATATTTTAAGGCATTAGTGAGAAAGGATTAATGAAAGACTTTTGATCATAAAAATAAATAGTATTGGTATGAGTGAGTGGGATGAGGCATGGAAGCACCTGCTCACCAGGCGGAAAGTGTCTCTGGGCGTCTGGGGCCACCGGTGAACTGGCTGCAGGGACAGGGGGCACCAGTGGTGAAGTTTCCATACAGATCTCCCATATAAAGACAGTTGAACACAGCCAAAGTTTCATCTTAATTCAACTGTTTGCACAGATTATTTTCAGTTAAATTTTATTTGTTTTAAGATTTATGTATTTTAGAGAGAGCATGTGAGTGCAGGCGTTGGGAGGGGCAGAGGGAGAGAAAGAATCTTGAGCAGGCTCCCCTGCTGAGTGAGGAGCTCAATGCGGGGCTCTGTCTCACGACACCCTGAGATCATGATCTGAGTCAAAACCAAGAGTCAGACTTGTTTTTAAAGGTATTTTCCATTCTAGCCTTTGCATATTTCCTTGCTTTGGAGGCTCTAAATTCTCTGTATTCTGATTCTTGCAGCAAATGATGGTCCTCAGTCCCCATTTCATCACATTCTGCCCAAGTGCAAGCTGGCCAGGGACCTCAAGGAAGCTTATGACAGGTAAGACAGGTGGTGCCCCTGCCCGTGGGCCTTGCTGCCCGTTCTCCTGTTGTACCACTGAGATGGGGGTGAGAGGATTGGGAGTGCCAGCCCCCTGAACCGACCCTGAAGTCACGCATGAGAGCCTGAAATTCTTGTGAGTCATGAGATACAGATCAGGTGACACGGTGCCAAGTTCTGGGTCTGCCTCCTAAGATGGGTGTCACTGTCATCACTTCACTGAGGAGGAAACTGAGGCTCAGAGGGTGCCCTCCACTCGTGGGACTTGGGGTTTGGGGGCTGAGTTTAGGAAGGCAGCCCGCGTTGCAGACCCAGCAGAGCCTCTCAGTTGTTCCAGTCATATTGGTGTTCCCAGCTTTCTGTGGAGAAGCAAAGAACTTCTTTTCTTTTAAGAGGGTCCACTGCTCCCTGAGCCTGGGTATGCAGGGTGGGTGGGAGGTGGTGGAGGGGGCTCGGGAGGGTGCCCAGGTGACACTTCCCCTGCAAGCTGTGCCCTTCTGCTCCGGGACCATTGGTTCTCGAGGGGCCACCACTCAGAGCACCAGACATGTTGCTGCACAGTCTGCACTGAGGTGCAGGCTTCTTCTCTGGGCCTTGTCCGTGCACGCAGCCCTGGGCCTTCTCGGCGCTTCACTCCATCGGCAGGCTCCACGCTACCCACTGGTGGTGGGCTGGGTCTGAGCTGTGGCTGGCGAGACCACGTGTCATCCAAGCCCAGGGAGGGTGGCTTGTCTAGCATCCTTTTTTGGTATTAGCGGTTTTCCTGATCTCACCGACAATACGTGCTCGTTATTGGTATTTAGGAAATGTAGAAGAGTATAGAGAAAACAGAGCCCATCTATGGTCCCGTACCCAGTGATTATTGTTATGAGCGTTTTGGAAATTTTTCATTCTTTCTGCTGTTTTTTAAATTAATTTTTAAAAAAGATTTTATTTCTTTATTTGAGAAAGAGCATGCTAGAGCAGGGTGAGGGGCAGAGGGGGAGGGAGAAGCAGGCTCCCTGCTAAACAGGGAGCCCAATGTGGGGCTTGATCCTTGGACTCCAGGATCATGACCTGAATCGAAGGCAGACGCATCACGGCTGAGCCACCCAGGTGCCCCGTTCTTTTTGCTGTTTTAACTGAAGCTTTTGAAAAGGTCATGTATCCATCCAGTCTGAAAATCAGTGTTGTGTGCCTTTCCTGCTGTACCACCACCAGGCCCCCGTCCCGGTGGCAGAAGCATGTCAGCAGGCCGGCACGTGGCATGTGCCATCCTGCACCGCTGGCCTGGAGGCACACACAGGTGGACACTGACCCCCTTTGTCCCTTTACACTGCACGTGTGGACGACCCCTGCCTTCTCAGTTTAGCCGTGTCGCCTTGACCCTGTCTCTACTGGGAAATAAGGGCTGCTGCTTCTGCGGCTACCCAGTTAGCCAGCCCCTGTCCTGGGCATTTCGTTGGCCTCAGCCTCTGGTGCTGCAAGGCCTGATGCTCAGCTGTGCGCACGTGGGGTTGTGCACTTGCACCTGTTTATCTGTCCGATGAATTCCCAACAGCAGAATTGCCAGGCCAAGGAGGTAAAGCCCTTGTGATAGGGCGCACGTCCATGTGGGGCTTTGCCTCAGGCTGCACCCCCACTGGCCCCACAGGAGATCCCTCTTCCTCCGGCTGTGCTGGCCCAGGGTCTTGGTGAGCTGTGTCCACAGCCGTGTCCAGATGCCGCCGTGCGCGTCCCCCTGTCCTGCCCAAGCTGTCCTCAGACCCCCGTCCGTCACACAGGAGGCAGAGCAGGGCTTGCTTTGTCCTGACCCCGGTGATTGCTGGCTGTTAGGGCACGGGAACTCTCGTCCTGTAGTTCCCCCCTCCCCCCGTTACATCGCTCATGACCACATCGAAGTCTCTGCAGTCAGAGAAGTGCTGCCCTTTGGTCTTGGGCTGGCTGGTGCTGGGAACCACTTCCTTGGAGCATGCTCCCTTGCTCTGAAAGGTACTCTGCCTGCCTCAGCTACGGTCAGGCCACAGGCAAAGTTCAGGTTAACCCGGACATAAACACCAAACCAGGACCAGACTCGCTATGTCTAAAGAAAGAATGGACTGTGCTTTCTTACATTTGAACTGCAAGCTGGAGGCAGTGAAGGGCTGGGTGGTCGGCCCACCTGCCGCTGCTCAGAACTTGAGGCAGCACAGCGCCCCACAGTGGGCATTGTGTAAAGGAGGCCAGGAATCAGAGTTTTGGGGAAGAAAGGCTCCCAGCGTTCACTGTTGAGCATTTGCCTCCTTCCTCTAGCCCAAGCACCCTAGTGTGTTAGTGTTCAGGATCCCGTTTCCTCTGGGCGAACCCCCACCCACCCACCTTTTCCTATTCCCAGGCCCCACCCTGCCCAGTCGTGGGTTCTGGGGCCCAGCTCCCGCAAGCCAGCAGCATTGCCACTCTGGTGGGAGTCCCAGGGACAGTGGGGTCCTCCCCTGCACCCTGTCCCAGCCTGCCAATAGCAGGGGCTCCGCGACTGCCCAGGAGCCCCCCTGGGCTGTGGCTTTCCCTTTGCTGCTGCAGGGTGGACTTACCTTGGAGCTGAGAAAGGGAGACGTGGGTTTACATGACTGATCCGGTAGCAACAGAGCCGCCGTCTCCCTTTGGCACAGCTTTCCAGCAGATCCTGGGAAAGGTTTTCTCTGAGCAGACATGAGAGACGTGGAGGTTGGAGATCGGGGTGAGACTTCTCAAAGGAGTTCTGGATTTGCTGTTTTAATTAAAATCCAGGGTTGTGGTGTGGCCTCGTGCCCCGGGACCTAAGTGTCTGTGAGCATAGGCTGGTAGCATGACTCCCTTGGAGCCTACCCTGACTGTTGCAGCTTCTGTGTCTCCCCCTGGGGCCCGGTGACCTCAGTGAGCGTGCCCCACGCATTTGTGTGACGGTCAGGTTGGGTCTTCCGTGAAGTCGGGGAATGTCCCTTCACTTTCAGTAACAGACCTTGTGGTTGCCTGCTGTCGCTTGAAGGAACGAGTAGACAGCAGTCATGTTGTTGTGGAGTCCATGGCTTGACAAAGTGTTTGTTGAATGGTTTTCAGAGGTAACGGGGCCTGTGGTGGGGCCAGGAGGCTCAGAGCTCAGGGGAGCTGCCCAGGGCCTGGCCGACCGAGCAGGTGGCATTGGGAACTCTGTGCTTGTTCACTGCTGCCTCCCAGTGCTCTCTGCTCAGAGCAGAGATGCGGCCACAGACTCCTCCACTAATATTCTGGGAGTTTTAGTGCCTTTTTCCATAAAATGCACTTCTGTACACCTTTTGTGTGAAATTTCAAGGTGGGCCTTTTGTAGCCCACTCGACCCTCTTGAATTGTGTACAGTGTCCCACGCCATGTAGTAGGAAGCCTGGCTGTGTGTGGAACCAGAGTGATCGGGAGGTGCTGGGCTGGCCGGGAGACCAAAGAAGGGGGTTTCAGCTCTTAGCTAAAGCGTTAGGAGCTGAAGTTCTTTCTCACGTGGTGAGATGAGAGGGTAACGGAGTAAGCCGGTACACACTGCCTTCCATCTGGGGTGGGAACGATAAGGGCATGTCTTGAAGGCCAGTGTGTTGCCTCATGCACAGTCATTGCTTAGGACTCGGAGCATCTATCTCGCATGGCAGATGGGGCTGGGCGACGCTGTGTGGCCCCGAGTTGTGTGGCAGGCTGGATAAGCCTCACGTGGGGCAGCGCCTTTCGGAAGGTGTTTCCAGACCAGACATGACTGCCTTGCCAGCAGAAGTACAGACATAGCAGGAACCCTAGAGAGTCTGGTCTTTTTTTTTTTTTTTTAAGATTTTATTTATTTATTTGAGAGAGAGAGAATGAGAGACAGAGAGCATGAGAGGGAGGAGGGTCAGAGGGAGAAGCAGACTCCCTGCCGAGCAGGGAGCCCGATGCGGGACTCGATCCCGGGACTCCAGGATCATGACCTGAGCCGAAGGCAGTCTCTTAACCAACTGAGCCACCCAGGCGCCCCGAGAGTCTGGTCTTAAAAGTGCACTTTATGTGGCATAGGGAATATACTCAGTAATACTGCAGTAATGTTATTTGGTGACAGACGGCGACTACGCTTACGGGGGTGAGCACTGAGTAATGTGGAGAACTGTCGAACACCGAACCTGGTACAAGCTGTATGTCAACTATTCTGCAATAATAAAATATATACATGAGTCGTAGCCTCAGATTTTCGGAGGGTGGGCCGCCTCCACCCTGGAGGTGTTAGGAAAAAACAAACTGTGCTTCAAACACAGAGAGGAGGCTTTTTTCCCCTCCTCTGAGCAGACTTCATTGCGGCTCCTGGCTCACCTCTTGCTGCAGGAGGACTGTGGGCTTCCCGGGGCTCCGTGTGGGTGGGCATGTTCCACGCAGGCTCCACGCTGCATCTCAGTGCGAAGTACTCCATGGGTGGGACAGATGCCTGGAAAAGTGGAAATCCACATGAACACCAGGGAACCGACGTGGGAGCGTTCGGGAGAAGACCCCACACCAGTGTGTGCATGCATGTGTCATTGCCAAGCTCCTGGGGGAGCAAAATCAGCTGTGTGTGAGGTCATAGGAGTCTCAGTGTTTAATTCTGATTCTCTGGTGTTCCATCTGCTACTTTGAGCCATATCCTAAGGATGACAGCTCGGAAGCAGACTTTTCTTTCAGTCCACCAGCCTTTCTGTCCAGGTATATAGTGAAACAGAGGAGGGAGGAAGCCTGCCCATGTTAGCTTTGTCAAGTTCGCTCTCCCTGCAGCCCTGCTTTTCCTCACTCTTCTCTTCCTTTTGTACATGGATGCTGAGACTCTCATCCACTGGGCAGCCCTCCCATGGTGTGACCTTGGATTTTGTAAGAGGTTGTTTCTCAGGGTTTGATGGGAGCTGTCCACCTGCAAAGACCCTTGCCCAAAGTTTGGGGAGGCTCTGAGAACCTCCATCTGCTCATATTTACTTACTTAGCACTCCGTTCTTTTTTTTAATTTAATTTTTTTTAAGGATTTTATTTATTTGAGAGACAAAAAGAGAGGGAGAGAGAGAGCATGGCGGGGGGAGGGTCAGAGGGAGAAGCAGACTCCCCGCTGAGCAGGGAGCCTGATGTGGGACTCGATCCCAGGACTCCAAGATCATGACCTGAGCCAAAGGCAGTTGCCTAACCGACTGAGCCACCCAGGTGCTTACTAGCACTCGGTTCTTCTGGGACCTTGGGGAAGGATCCCAGATCTCTTCTCTAGATTGTGACTCTTATCAGACCCACCCATGCATTTCACACTGAGGGACTGTGGCATCAGCAGTGACCAAACCTTTGCCTTCCAGACTCAGCCACAGCCTGCAGCCCCCACCCTCCCAGCAGTGGGTGCTCTGACCCTCCCTCCGGGGGCTATTCAGTGGTGCAGATGTCCTGAGAGTGCGTCACGGGGCAATGAGCACATAGTGGTGTTGGCAGGAATCCTAGGGGGTCCTGGAGGTCACGGATGTGCTCTGTGTTCTTCCCCCTGTTTTTTCTCCTCATTACACATTCCCTGCTTGAGAAAACAGCTGACCACAGATTCTGCCGGCTCTTTGGGTGGACCCGTGGAGAAGCCTGTGGTAGTTGGTCTGCTGCCTGAGGCTTCGGGGAAGAGATGGTAAGAACAGCCTGTGGGTGTGGGCAGTGAGGGCCTTAGGGCCGCCTGCCAGCACCGTGCATTTGTGTGCCCCTGAGGGAGGTCTGAGACAGGTTTCCTGAGCCATGGCCCGCCCCACACTTGGCCGGATGTGGGCGTCTTGGCCTCTCCAGACACTTGGGAATTGAAGAGTGGGGTTGGAATGTGATGGGAAGAACTGGGCCAGGCCAGGCCTCGAAGTGGGCACACATCCTCCCTGTCTTGTCCACCTGCCAGGGGTGTGGTGAGGACCAGCCAGTGGGGCTTTGCCCAAGTAGTCACTTCTCTGTGTCAGACACCAAGTGCTGTTAGCACTTAGTACAGGAGCCGTGCACCAGGCTTTGGGTGCTGTCAGGCTGGCTTCTCATTGGAGGGTTTCAGAAGCACCTGCTGGAAACAGCTCTGTGTGTGGTTCTGCGGTGCAGGGCATACAGGGCACAAGCCTACTGTGGAGCCACCAGCAACCTGTTCTCTGAGCAGGGGCTTCCCGGGAGATTGTCTGCCCAGAGTTGGCAGCGTGTTCCTTGGGCCCCTTACCTTCCTCTGTTCATGAGATGGTTCTCAGTGCCCCCCAAGCACCAAACACTTGACTAGCTATGCGGGGAGCAGTTAATGAAACCTAAGACCACAGCTGGTGACTGAATTCTGTCGGGGAAACTGCATCCAGTAGCAGACAAGTAGGTGCATCCTGTGGTCAAGTGCTCCAGACATGCATGACCACACAGCAGTGATTGCCTGGGGGGCTGGGGCTGGGCCAGGGCTCACCTCACGGAGAAGGTGGTGCTTGAATTGAGACCTGGAACGGGGAAGGAACCCAGGGCACCTGGAGGGAGCACTAGAGGCCGAGAAGAGGAGAGTGGTCAGTACAGGTGGACCCAGACAGCCTGGGCTAGGAGAGAAGGTCCGAGAAAAGCGGGCAGGTCATGTGGGGCTCCGGGCATTTGTGGGCCTTGGCTGGGGCTCCCATGGGGGTCTGAGTGGGGAGGGTGGACGGGGGCTGGTGCTGCGCAGGTCTGTAGGGAGAGCAGACAGGATTTGCAGATGGTCAGGGTGGGATGTAGGAGAAACAAGGATTCAGGGACAGGGTGGCCTATGTGCCCTGAGCAGTGTTTGGTCCTGAAAGAACCAAACTGCTGTCACCGAGGAGGTGTGGAGTGAGAGGTTTGCAGCTGAGGCTGGCTTGGACGGTTGCTTTGGTGCAGCTTGGCATCTGTAGGGAGGAGGGTGCCTTGTGCTTCTCCCTGACAGGACGTTTTGGGAGGCTTGGCACCCCCCGCACACACCTTTCCCCTCCTGCCCACCTCTCTCTTTTGGAGACAGGCCCTGCCCTGCCTAGCTGCCCACCTGTGGTGGGGCCTTCACGGGGTGTGCGAGGGGCCTGGCCCTCACCCTGTACCGAGGAGGCCTTAGCCCTGCGACGTTGAGCCTCTGGGGCAGACACGGAAGAGGCTTCCCTCGAGTCCTTGCACTCTGGTCGGACTGCAGATTCCAGGGCGACCCAGAGATACATTTGTGTGTGTTCTTCTCTTAAACACCTGAGATCTGGAAAGATGTTTTCTTGCCCAAGGGCTTCACGGGGTTCTGTGTGGTGTGTGTGTGTGTGTGTGGGTTCGCGGTGGCACCTGACGGCAGCGGGGCCTGTTCTCTGCAGCTTGTGTACTTCAGGCGTGGTGCAGCTCCACATCAACAGCTGGCTGGAGGTGAGCTTCTGCCTGCCTCATAAGATCCACTACGCCGCTGCCAGCCTCATTCCACCTGAAGCCATCGAGCGCAGCCTGAAAGCCATCCGGTGAGTGCCAGCCCACATACTGCCTAGCTTCTGCCCAGGGAGAGTTGTCCTTTCCTCTTCCTGCCGCAGGAATCGGCAGGTAAAGCTCTACTGCTGATAGAAGTGAGAACGCGTATTTTGGGGTCTGGTTTTTGTCCAGAAACGACCAACCGCAAGTTTCCTCCGGGCTCTCTCGGCACCACGAGGGTGATGAGGCTCTTTGCTCGGGGGTCTTCGCCTCAGGCCCGGGCAGGGCTGTAGGGGCCGAGCTCCCTGGCGAGATGCGGGACTGTGGGGGGAGTTGCGTCCTGCCAGGGCTGCTCACCGGACCTCCTGCATTTGAATCAGAACTTGTGGGAACTCAGTTTCTTAATTTAACTGGTTTCCTGCAAGGAAAGAGCTAAGCTCAGTTTTTGCAACCCCCCCACCCCCATTAAAGTTCCGTTTCCTTAGATATTTTTATAACTAAAAAAAGAAATCTGGGCACATTACAGAAAATTTGGAGAGGAGAGAAAGCAAGGCACTACCTAGCCGTCTCTCCCTTGCCCCGTCTGTGCTCTAAGTCCGTGTCCTTCCTCCTGGACTTCCTTGCTGAAGTATATTTTTATGTAGTTCTATTCATAGCCTGTGGTGGGGATTTTGCTTTTCCATATTTGGGACTCTTTGCTTGGAAAAGATTCATGTATTTTTTCAGTCGACAGATGTTCGCTGGGCAGTCCCGGAGGTGGGAGATGGAGTTGGGTCGTCAGGCCGCCTTCAGTTTTGTTCCACTTTGTTTTTTCTGAGGGTTGTAGTGACCCTTGTGGCTTCTTAGAGGCCCCTGGATGCACTGCTCCTTCTGTGTAACCCTTGCGGTGGCCTCTTCCCTCGGGTTCAGTGTGTGTGCCCCAGCAGTGTGCCTGGTCAGGGGGCCTGGGCTCGCGTGTCCCGCTGACCCCTGACTCTGCTCTGCAGCCCCTACCACGCTCTGCTGCTGCTCAGTGATGAGAAGTCCCTGCTGGGCGAGCTCCCGCTCGACTGCTCCCCGGCCCTGGTGCGTGTCATCAAGACCACATCCGCCGTGAAGAACCTGCAGCAGCTGGCCCAGGATGCAGACCTGGCCTTGCTGCAGGTATCAGCCTGGGGGCCTGGGGACACACCCTCAGTTGGGGAGAATGGGCGGGCACCTCAAAGCAGGTGGTCCTTGGGAGGAGGTGGGAGGTCAGGGCCTCAGGAAAGCAGGCTGCCTGTGTGCTGTGTCCCCAGGACCTCTGTCCAGCTGAGCGCCACTGCGTCGCCTGCTGTGGTGGGGTGGGTTGTTCCTGGGTTGGCTCCAAGTTCTGGAATCTGAGTCGGGGCTGGCTTTGTGAACTGGCTGTGGGGGACTGATGTTGTCCCCTGTCCAGGAGTCGTGAGGCATGAGGCCCCCCCAGGTGCTGGGTGACTGGCTGTGGAGGATGGGGTGCCAGGGCTGGGGGCTTGCAGGGTTGAAGCAGGGGCCCGCAGGGTGTCACCCTGTGAGAAAGTACCACATCTCTACTTCGCCAGTGTGGGAGGTGAGGGCCCACCTGTGTGCAGAACCAGGGCCTAACCTGCTGGCCTTGACCACCCCCCTTGCGTGTGCATTCAGGCCTGTGTTCTGTAGGAGGTCCCACCCTCTTGCTGAGCCATGTGCTTGTGGGCTGCAGGTTTTCTTTCTTAAGATTTATTTACGTATTTGAGAGAACACGCATGAGTACACGCGAGCTGGGGGAGAGGCGGGGGGGAGAGGGAGAGAATCCCCCGCAGACCCCTTGCTGAACAGGGAGCCTAACCCAGGGATCGATCTCCTGTGATCTCATGACCCCAAGATCACGACCTGAGCCGAAAACGAAAGCCGGATGCCCTCAGTTCTGGCTGTGATCTGGTTGGAGCCTGGGTGGGGGCCAGGGAGTGAGGAGAAGCACAGGAAGAGGTTGAAGGTCCCAGGGCGGTTGTTCCTCCCAAGTGACAGCCGAGGGCAGGACCACAGTCTGGCCGCGGTGGGCACCGTGTGGCCACCAGGGGGCAGCAGGACCTGTCCCCGGAGCCGTGGCTCTGAGGAAGAGGAGCCCAGGCGTGAGGCGGGCGTGAGGCAGGCCTGCCCCCCACCCAGCCAGAGGCATGCCTTTGGCCTTGGTCCTTAGCCGTTGGGGGAGCCTAACTCTCAGGCCTGTGTTTCCCAAAGCAGTGTTTTCTGAGTCTGCCATCCAGAATGAGTCCTTCCCTTGTCTGTACCCATGACCTTTGTCCATCCCCCGAGACCGTCTATCAGATTCTGCCCTTGTGCATTGTCATACGGGCTCCTGGACTGGAGGGGACCCGCTGAGCATCGCGTCCTGCTCCCCTTCGTAGCATCATCCACAAGATAGAACCTTAAACATGCTGGCTGTTTCGTACACACTGCAGAGCTTGTGTTCTGACCCATATGGGCTAAGCTTTCAAGTTTCTCGGTCTCTTTGGACAAAGACAAAGCTCTGGTGATGTCCCCTTCACTTCCCTGCCCTAGCCTCGCCATGGGGAGACCGTTTTTCCCTTCCGTAACCTTCCCCACTGAACGCTCCTCAAATCAGCGTTTCCTGCTGGTGTGGTGGTCGGCCTCCCTGGCCTCTGCAGCTGCTGTTACCTATGGCAGGTGGCCCCTTGGGGGCCCCGAGGACAGCAGAGCTGGCTGAGCCCGGTTGGAGCCCCAAGCACGGATGGCCCCCCTAGGGAGAAAGTGTCAGCTTCAGGTGTGAGTGTCTTCAGATGATTTAAAGCGACTTAGGTTCTCAGGGTGCCCGGCTGGCTCAGTCGATGGAGCCTGCGACTCTGGATCTTGGGATCGTGAGTTTGAGCCCCACGTTGGGTGTAGAGATTGCTTAAGAAAAAATAAAATCTTAAATAATTCGTGTTCCATCACAGGCAAAGTCAGTATTTTGGGCTTTTAATTCTAGCATAATTAGCATACAGTGTTGTCTTAGTTTCAGGTGTACAGTACAGTGAGTCAGCAGTTCCGTATGTTAGTGCTTCATCCCCAAGATAAGTGCGCTCTTAACCCCCTTCACCTGTTTCACCCGTCCTCCCACCCATCTCCCCTATTTTGGGCTTTTTTGTCGTGATAAAGTTAGTATGTTCAAATATTACACAAGTTACAGGCAGAGAATCCCTGCAATCCTATATCGCAGAGGTAACCATTGTAGATTCTTCCAGACTTTTTGTATGAATCAATTATTAACACATTATCTTTGAATCAGAAAATGAGGGTCACACTGCCATTCCTTGTGATTGGCTCCCCACAGACCTTCACATCCTACTCCCTAGGTCCTGGGAATGCAACCTTATGTGGGACTTTGCAGATGTGATGAAGGACCTTGAGGTGGGCAGTGACCCTGGATTGTCCGGGTGGGCCCAGTGTCACCACAGGGCCCTTGTGAGAGATGGGCAGGGGGTACGACCACGGAGGCAGAGATCGGAGGGATGTGGCCACACGCCAAGGAACACTGCCGCTCGAGGAGGTAGGGCAGCTTTTCCCCCAGAGTCTCCGGAGATCGTGTCCCTGCTGAGAGCTGGAGTCCAGCCCGAGCTACGAGTTCAGACCTCTGGTCTCCAGAATGGTGCTCTGGCTGCAGGGAGTGGTGGGAGGTGGACGGCACAGGTGAGGGCGATGGCAGGTGGAGGAAAGCGGGCGTATCCTTGCTTTGGAGTGAGTGTCAGTAAGACTTGGGAGGAGAGAGAAGAGCGGTGGTGAAGGAACTGAGGTTTCTGCCGTGTTGGGCTGGTGGTCCTGTTTGCCGAGGTGAGGTGTCCCAGGCCTCGTGTGTCCCCATGCTCATGAGACCTTTCCTGAGTGCCAGCCTGGACAGGGTCCTGTGGTCACGGTCCTCTGGGAAGTGACTGTCCCAAACCACACCAGGGACCAGTGATAAGAAGGGTTATTGTGCGTGTGCTGTGCCAAACGCCCAGGTAGGGGGTTGGAGAGTCGGGCAGTATCCTCCGAGCTCCCACTGCCTGCAGGTTTTCCAGCTCGCGGCCCACCTGGTGTACTGGGGTAAGGCCATCATCATCTACCCGCTGTGTGAGAACAACGTCTACATGCTTTCTCCCAACGCCAGCGTGTGTCTGTGAGTATCTCTGGCTGCTGGAGCCCAGGATGGTGCTCCCCACTTGGGCTTGCTTGCTGGCCTCTGCTGTGTCCACGTTCTAATTCTGGGCTGGTCCTGTGCCATGTGGCCTGCCCCGGGCCTGTGCTCTTCCGGCATTCAAAGCCCCCATGCAGGGTCCGGCCAGTGGGCTCCAGATGGGGTGCCTGGTGGGGGGTGGGAGCCTTGATCTTGACTCGGGGGCTCAGAGGGGCTTTGGCCTGTGCCCGTGGCTCCTGCCGTCCGTTGAGGGAAAGCACCTGGGTTCTGTCCGCATGGCATCCATCCTGGGCCACCTGCCGTGCTGCGCCTCCCTGCTGTCCGCCCTGGGCTCGCGGCAAGGGCACAGATGTCAGGAAGCGATGGCGAGGCCTGCTGAGCTCATGGGCACGCTCGCCTCACCTCTCCCAGGTACTCCCCACTGGCCGAACAGTTCTCCCGTCAGTTTCCAGCTCACGACCTGCCCTCCGTCCTTGCGAAGTTCTCCTTGCCCGTCTCCTTGTCAGAATTCAGGAACCCCCTCGCGCCCCCTGTGCAGGAGGTAAGTCGCAGGAGTCCAGGGAGTCCGGGAACCACCCTCCCAGTGTAAGTTCCTTATCCCAGGGCCCGCAGTGCTGCTGTACCCTTAGCCTGGGTTTTGGGGAGGAGGGGGCTTGGCTGTGTAGGTGGTACATGTCACGCCAGGGTGACCCAATAGCTGGCTCCCCAGCCGAGCTACCTGCAGACACTTGGGCAGTCCCAAGTCCCACCCCCCAACCCCCCAGTGGAGCCTAGCCTGGCTGCCGTGAGTGGTTCTCGGGGTTAGAACCAAGTTAAGAGGCCCAGGTGTCCGAGAGTGGTAACCTTTCCTGGGGAGTTGCCGAGTCAGCTTTGTTTTCACTGAACTTGGGCCCTGGCTTCCTGCCCTCTCCCTCTCCATGGTCCAGGAGACCACAGGGTATGTGGGTCTAAGTCCTGGGCCCACTGGTCCCCAGAATCTCCTCATCCAAGAGGATCTGGAGAGGACAGGCCTGGGACAGGCCCCAGTGGGCCTGGGTCCAGGCGAGGGACAGGTGGGGTTGCTGGGTGTGGCAAGGGCTCATCCAGGGAGGCATGAGCATATGGAATGAACTGGTGAGTTCTGGGTCAGGTGCAGGCTGGATCCCAGAACGAGCCTCTTCCTCCCTCCTCTGTGCTGAAGGCCCGGAGCTCTGGAACTCTGGGCAGGGACCACAGAGCCAGGTTGGGGCAGGTGTTGGGAGATGGGGCTGGGTGTTCTCAAGGGTTTGTCTTCAGAAGGAAAGTATTTTTTTAAATGAGTGTGAGATCTGTTAGGCAAAACCAGTCCTTAAAAGCAAACCCTTTCCCTTCTCAAGTTGTGAATGAGGAGGGGATCCTGGTTCTTGAGTTCATTCAGATGCTGAGTGTGACAGAGTTCTAAAGGCCGTCTTTCACGGGGCCTTTGGTTTCCAGGAACTGTGCCAGGCCCTGCCAGCTGAATAAAAGCCACACTTTGCATCTGTGCCCTCACTTCCCCCAGCAGAAGCTTCCTAATGGTCCAGATGACGGGTGGATTTTCCAGGCCATGCCTGGGGGCCGCCTTGTGCTTGGTCAAGGGGCTCAGATGGAGTGGGGTGAGGCGCCTGCTTGTCACGTCTTCTGCTTCAGGGACTGGCGTGTGCTCTGGAGTGCTTATGAAGCCCCTTTGTTTTATTCCTTAATTCTAACTATCTTACAGTCCTTTTCAAAATTTATTTGGTTTGACCAGGTCATGACCTGCCCATGGTACGTGGTACATCCCTGTTTCCATGCGTGGTCAGCCGTCCCTTCCCAGGGGGGACTCCCAAAGCCGAGCAGGCAGATGTGTGACCTCCCTGCTCACCCATGCTCGAGCTTGGCCTGTTCGGGGCTCCTCACTGGTCCTGCTGAGGGGCCAGCCCCATGAGATAAGGGTGGACTCCACACACCTCATCAGGGCTCCCAGTCCAGGGCTGAGGTCCTTCCAGGTTGAGCCAGGCAGAGGACTTCTGCTCTGTGGACAGCTGCCTGCAGCCTCTTTGTGAACAGTGTCCAGGCCACAGTGCGGAGGCCCCCACAGGCCCAGCTCTGTGTGGTGGGGGTCTGAGCGACAGGGCCGAGTAGGGCCTCCATGTACTCGGCCCTTCTTCTTAGCTCTGGGCACGAAAGGCCGGGCACGGGGGCGGCCCGAGTGTGCGGTGGGAGCGCTCCTGTGGCCTTCCCTGGAGCAAGGAGCTGGGCTTGGCCAGCAGCTGAGGGGTCCTTTTCTGAGGTGGGGAGCCTTGTGCCCCGGGGTCAGGCCCCTGGAGCTCATGGACCCCTTGCCTCTGGGATGACTCGTGGGGATCGTGTCTTAGGTCATGGCTCCTTGGTCCTCCCTGGAGGGGAGCAAGGCAGTGGTGGGGGACTAGCCTTCCTCCACTGCCCTGGGCCTCGTGCCGCCTGTCCTGCAGACCCAGCTCATTCAGATGGTGGTGTGGATGCTGCAGCACAGACTCCTTGTCCAGCTGCACACCTACGTGTGCCTGATGGCCTCGCCCAGTGAGGACGAGCCCCACCCTCGAGAGGACGATGTCCCCCTCACCGCCAGGGTCAGCGGCCGCAGCCTCAGCACACCTAATGCGCTCAGCTTTGGTTCCCCAAGTAGGTGCCCCCTGCCCAGGGCATCCGTCTGGTGGGTGGGGGTGGCATTTGGGAGGTACTTGGGAGTGGCAGCCAGGATCCCGACATGGGCACTGCTGGGGCTGACCGAGGCGCCCTCACAGGGCCGTGCGTGTGCACACACTCCCGCCCCCTATGTGGGCAGCTGGGCCCTCACACGCACAGCCACCGTCCCCTGCTGAGCAGCTCGCCCCTTGAAGGACGGCAGGAGACCCCTCTCCCTCATCTCCTGCACATCTGTGGCTCTGGGCACCCGAGCAGCCTGGGATCAGAGCAGATGTCCCAGCCTCACTGGGGGATAGCTGAGCCTGCCTTTTTGGGGCCTGTGGGGAGACACTGACTCACGGTTGCTTCTTAGAAGAGCCGCTGTGGCCACCGCATGCGCCCAAAGGCCACAGCCCATTGCCAGGCCCCGGGTCCCCCAGGCTTCCCAGGTTCGGGGGAGACGAAGGGCTGGAAGGCTCCCTAGATGGAGGCCTGACCTTGATCTTCAAGTTCAGTGCAAGGACCCAGCCTTGCTCAGGGCCCTCCCTTGTCTATCTTGGGACGAGGGGTGGGATGAGCAGGCCTGCCTTGGGGTGTGGAGGCTGCTACCAGAGGGTGTGGCAGCGGATTCCCGGTGGACACGGACGGCACAGCAGGTGCACCAGGGGTGTGTTTGGGCGGCCGGCTGCTCCCTGACCCGTGCCCACCCACAGCCAGCAGTGACGACATGACCCTCACTAGCCCCAGCATGGATAACTCCAGCGCGGAGCTCCTTCCCAGTGGGGACTCACCACTCAACAAGAGGATGACGGAGAACCTGCTGGCCAGCCTGTCCGAGCACGAGCGGGCAGCCATCCTCAGCGTGCCTGCAGCCCAGAATCCCGAGGACCTCCGCATGTTTGCCAGGTGGGCGCAGGGTGACCCACGGTGCTGGGCCAGTTCTAGGGTCAGAACAGCAAGTGGATGGGGACTTACCCAGCACAACCCAACGGCAGTTGCTGGTTGCCGTGGCGTCTCAAGCACTGAGGTGTCCCCACCTGGCGCCTGTGCGTGCCTGCTGTGGCCGGCACCGTCTGTCGCCAAGACCCCAGGCTTGGTGCCTCTGCCCGTGGGGGTCCCTCCAAGACTTCCTTGTTTCTTGTTACTCCTTCGGAAGCTGCGGCAGGTTCTCACTCTCACAACTGGGAAAACTCTGAGCCCCGGGCTGAGGGCGGTGCTGTCCAGGACCCCTACATCATTGGTGACAAACTTTTGTCACACCCAGCTTTGACTTGGGGGGCTCTGCAGGTGGAGGGTTTTTTGGGTGGGGTGAGGCTGACTGGCAGCAGGCCCCCAGTTAAGAACCGCATGCCAGGTGACTCTTGGAAGCAGCTGGGTCCCGGCCTCTGTGTCTGCCCCAGCCACACATGGCCCCTAGAGCAGTGACCCCATCTGGGCCCATGGCCGCATGGCACTTGCTGCCACAGCAGCATGAAGAAGGGAAGCCCCCGGCAGACCTGTCCCCTGCACTTCCCCACCCATGTCAGCATGCCGAGGGCGGATGTGAGCCTCAGGCTCGGGTGGCTCCAGGGGGTGAACAGCTGTGTGTCCTCGCGGACCCACGTCAGGGCACCGTGTGGGCGGCAAGTCCCGGGAACTCACCCGCCCCTGTTGGGGGTGGAGGCCCCAGGATCCCTGCCGGCTCTGCTTAGGTCTGTGGGCAGTCAGCACTGGTCCCCACCCGTGGCTGTTAGGACAGGGGCTGCCTGGGCTCACGCTGCCCTCCCCCCACCCCAGGCTCCTGCACTACTTCCGTGGCCGCCACCACCTGGAGGAGATCATGTACAATGAGAACACACGGCGCTCCCAGCTGCTCATGCTCTTCGACAAGTTCCGCAGTGTGCTGGTCGTGACCACCCACGAGGACCCGGTCATCGCCGTCTTCCAGGCACTGCTCCCCTGAGGCCAGGCAGGCCGCTGCCCTCCATGTTCTCATTCTCATCCGGCCCTTGAAACAGCCCCAGTGTCCGAGCTCCCAGCCGGAGGGAGTGTCCAGGACTCAGGCCTGCGTGCTTCCCACACACAGATTCGGGCCGTGCGTCTCTCAGACCCTCCTCCCAACCCTGGCCTCGTTCCCTGGCCCCCTCCACTGCTGCCTTCCACACGGCCACCCTGGGCGATACGCAGAAACGTGTCTGAGGCCAAGAGCGGACGAGAGCCCGGCCCGGCCCCCGCTACAGCTTTCGTGTTCGCCACCAGGAGGCTCATGACCAGGCTGTCACCCGGCCCCTCTTTGACACCTGCCTCACAAGGGCTTGGCCTGGTCCACATCTTGGGGGTGAGTCTGCCCTGGTGCCCCCCACCCTCCCTCACACAGGCCTGAGGAACAGTGCGTCCAGCCTCCCGCACACCCAGGGCCTCCGAGTCCTGTCCTGGAGGGAGGACCGACGGCAAGCACACGGCCACGAGGGCGGCTCTGGCGGAGATACAAGCAATACTGTTTTCTAGACATGAAGCGTTTATTTGGTTTTTAAACAATTAAAAAGCCTTGTCGGAGCTGACCCTTGCTCAGGCCCGTGCGTTCTGCTCAGCTGCTCTGTCTACCACGCTGACCCAGGGGCTGCCCCGGACATAAAAGCGCAGGGGCTTCTGGGCCCACTCTCCCGCACGGCCAACGCCCACTCGGGCTGCCGCCACCACGACTGGCTCACTGGACCCCGGGGGGCTGCGCTCCAACCACATAGCTTTGTCCATGGCCAGGTCCCGCTGGTCGAAGCTCTTGTCGATGGCCAGGGCCTGGCACAGCTTGGAGGGGCCGCTGCACAGCTCGCGGTCTTTGAGGGCGCGGCCCGTGGCGCCCCTGCGGACGGTGCTGCGAAGCTGCCGCATGGTCTCCAGGCCCCCCAGGGGCTCCAGCGCTCGCAGTAGGACACATGCCCCATCCCCTGTGGGACACACAGACAGCCTAGAAAGCTGAGCCTCCGCAGGCTGTTGCCCTCCCTACCCCGGGGCACGTCCAGTGCTGTGGAGGTGCTGAGCACCCCTGCGCTCAGTCTCCAGACGTCTGCTGCCTCCACCTTCTGCAGACTCGCACCTGCAAGGTGGGCTGTGCCCACGAGGCCCGAATGCCTGACCACTAGCTAGGGAGAACCTATTCTTTAAGAAGCGTGGTGGGTGCTGGTAGCCGGCCTCCTCCCCGGCTTCATCTGGTTTGGTGGCTGGCAGCACCTGTGAGGCTGGCAAAGGAGATCCCCGAGGGCCAGTCGTCTGTGAGCACGGTCACCCCACCACGAAGCAGGAAGCCTCAGGCCTGGGCCAGATTCTGAGCCGGCCCCAGGGTACCCCATCTGCCTTACCCGCTCGGGTAAGCTGGAACCTTCCAAGCTGGAAGGTCGGCTCAGAACAGCTACCGGTGTGCTCACGCTGCTGGGGGAGCCCTGCCCAGTGACACAGGGGGAGACCATGCGGGAGGAGATGCTGGCACACAGCCCCTCACTCCCTGGGATCCCTTCTAGCCCTGGCCCTTTGCGTATCAGTCCAAGCTGCTTCAAGTTTGTTTTCAGTCATGTCTGCACCCAACATGGGGCTCAGACTCACAACCCTTGAGATCGAGAGTCACACGCTGCACCACCTGAGCTAGACGGGCGCCCCAGTCCAAGCTACTTTTAGAGACCAGAGACCGCAGACGGACACTCTGGGCCCCAGGGCTCACGCAGGAAGAAGCATCTGCCCCAATTCCCTCAGTCTTGCATGGCTGGAGACAGTGAGGACCCTGGCCACGAGAACTCAGCCTCCAGCAAGGCTGCTCCCCTAACCGGGCCACCCCCCGCCACCCCACCGGGGGGTCTGAGAGGCTCGGGTGGCCAGGCCAGTTTCTGCTCTTGGACCTTGGCCACAAAGGTCTCCCCACTGGCATCTGGGAGCCCCGAGGGGACACAGCAGCCAGGCCCTCTCAAGTAGCCAGCAGCTGACCAGATGCCCCTTAACCAGCCTGTTCTCCAAGGACCTCAAGATACACTCGGGGTACACAAAGCCTTGGAAGTTAGTTCCTGTGCCTCTGTGATTCCTGGGCTCCTCAGCCCGCCAGCCTCAGGGCTCCCTGGGGGTGCCACACATGTCCCTCACTGTCCTGCAGAGCCCCTACACCTGGGATGGAGTGGCCTCCTCCTCCATCCCTACACCCCTACGCTGGAATGCATCTGAGTCCCTCATCCTGATGAAAACACGACACCCTAACCTCTTCCTGCCAAGTCTCCCCGTCCTTACCTGCTGGTCCTCCGTCTACACCACCTGCCCTCCGGGTTGGTTCTGTGCCACCCCCACCCTGAGGGCAGGCAGGCAATGACCATGTCCTTGGCCTCCCCTCCCCTTCACTCTGCCCAGATGACCCTTGGCCTTGACTGTGTGGGCCTGACCACCTGTGTGGTTTCCTGCCCCCGCACTGACTTGACCTGGATGGTCACATGGCCATAAAGTAACGCACCACCTCCAATGTCTGCCCTGTCCACTGTATCTCCCCCCACAACCCCAAAATCCTGGGCTTCTCCCCTTCCGTGTTGACCACAGCCCTGGGCAATGCTAGACTCTTGAGTTCAGTCCCACTTCACAAGAGGGGGTTGGTTCTCTTGCCAAAGTAAAGCCAGACAACCAAAGTAAGCTCCCCAGAATGGCAAGAGGACCCTACCATCCTCTGATGTCCAGTCACTCAGCTTCACTCAACACCTGCTTTGTTTTGGGCACAGGATCAGTCGCAGGTCCCCTGTAGGCCCTTTAGCCCCTGTGGCTCTGACACTGGACGTGTCCAGCTGTCTCCTCGCTGCAATCACAACTCCCAGGTCGTTGGGAGTCATTCAACAAATGTGTGTGACACACAATATACCAGACCCCAAGCTTCTTACTGGTCTCCTCGAGCATTTGCTCCTCTTGGGATGGGCAGTGGGGAGATTCAACAGACACCCACAGGCTGGGACTGGCTGGCCAGAATGGGCCAGGCGGACCTGCTCCTGGTCAGCAGTGCCGCTGGCAGGACAGCGCTGTGGGCTCTTCCTTTTGAGCACAGAGCTTCCGGAAAACAGCCACCCGCTCACAGTGCCCCAGAGCAGGTCTCACAGGGTGAGCAGGTTCTCCTGGGAGCTCTAGACCAGCATCTCTCTGCTCGGCATTACTGACATTTGGGGCCAGAGGATTCTGTGTGGTGGGGGCCGTTCAGCAGCATGCCTGGCCTCCACCTGCTAGACGCCAGTAGCACGTCACCAGCTGGGATGACCACACATCTCTGGACATTGCCTAATGGTACCCCCCCCGGTGGTAAAATCATCCCCGGCGGAGAATGACTGATTCAGATCCCATAACTGACCACCTGGCGAGGCTCTGGCTTGAGCCCAACTCAACCCAAACTGATCTCACCCTCATTTCCCCACAACCAGCCCCTCCCAGGTCCACCCTGGGTCATAGGAGACACCACCTTTGATCCCTGTGACCATCGGTGTCCTTGCGGAACCAGTCAGTTCTGTGTTCAGGTCAACCCATGACCTCTATCCAGTGGGGGCCCTGGTGCCCTGACAGTGTAGCCAGCGTTCCTGAAAATCTAGCTTAGCAGTGACACCTCTTTGCTTAGACACCTGCCCCGGCCTGGTCCTCCCAGGATCTCCCAGCCACCAACTGAAGGGACCGTGCCCAAGGCCTCCTGTCGCCCCAGCACCCCAGCACTGCTCACCTTGGCTGGAGACGTTCATGCAGAAGTACATGCCATAGATGATGTACACATACAGCGTTCCTGGCTTCATGAACATGCCACGGTTGCGGGAGGTCTGCCGGCCACCCCTAGAGTGGGCAGCTTCATCCTCTGGCCCCAAGTATGCCTCCGTCTCCACAATGCGGCCGCGGAGCTCTGTGCCGTCATCAAGTCGTCGAACCAGGACCTGTGGGCAGTCCGTCTGCTCAGAGCAGGGAGGGGCCGGGGTACACCCAACTGTGACAGCCCACAGCCTGGGCATCATCTCCCCAGTTCAGGGTGCACCAGGGTGCCCAGGTCCAGCCAGGCCCCCCACTCTCCCCTCTGTCCTGTCACCCACCCCAGGAACACAGGCCCTGCTAAGTATCCTGTCCACGGGTGGCAGCTGTCTCAACCTCCGGCCAGGGCCAGGCTGGAAAGCCAGCACTAGTCAAGTCACACACTTCAAGTCTTCTTGGCGGGGCCCTCCATCTCCCTGCCTCTTCCTCCCCAAGTCCCCTTGGACTTAAATGCTGAGCCTGGGGCAGGGCAGCATGGAGGGCACAGGGCGCCAGTGCTGTCCCCACACAGCTGCCCAGGACGCCTTCCACCTGGACTGACCACAAAGGACCGTCCTCCTCAGCTCCCATGCACCTGGCTCTGAAAGGCCCGAGCAGCAGGACCAGCTGCCCTGCAGTGGCCCTGGCCTGGACCACGGCCCCGGGTGTAGCCAGCGCCACCAAGAGCGGGTCAGTGCAGGCAGCCCACCAGGGAGAGGAGCCAGCTGCAGGTGGCCCAGACAGCACCCTGGGCAGGGGTGAGGCCCAAGGGGACAGAAGGGCCAGCTGAGGACAGGGCAGGGGCTCTCAGGTCAGCAGGGCACCTGGGAGAGCAGTCCAGGCCACAGGGGACCAGGGCGGGCCTGTGGAGCGCTGAGTGTGCCAGCAGCGAACTGCGTCTTCCTCGGCCCGAAGCCTTTCCGCCTATTCTTTGGCTACGTGACAGTACCTGTCCCAGAAATGCCCGTGCCAGGGGGACAGCGGGCTGGTCAAAAAACTCAGATCCCAGCTGTGCAGAGTGGCTTTTTGGGCTTGAGAAATAGATGCTGCGCTGGGGGCTCAGGGCTGCAGGTGGCCCCAAGCAGGGCTCCAGAGGGGCAAGCATCTGGGCTCTGTCTGGTGGACTCGGATGCTGTTCTGCCTCCAACAGCCGCTGCTTTTTTTGCCCCATTCTGCGGGAAAGCTGTAATGTGAACAGACAAAATAAATCTGAATAGGTTTTGCGGTGAAGTCAGAGTGGAGGAACTGTATTCGACTGCCGGTCTCATCCGTCAAACGGAGGCATCCCCTTTGGGGGTTGTAACGGTGCCAACGGAACGCGATACCTGATGTACTCGGCCCTGTGCTGGGCCCCCAGAGGCTCGGGAAGTGCCTGCGTAGGAGGACAGGCTGTTGGTGGCATCGAGAGAGTAGCCACTCTGATCCACACACTGTCCACATGCAGAAGATGCACAGGCTGATGGTAGAGGGCTGCAGGGCCTGAGGAGGGGACAGTGGGGACTCCAGCCTAGGGCAGGAGGGCTGGTATCCTCATTCCCACTCATGACGTGGACCCCAAACAAACTTCTCATCTTGTTTCTGGAACCCAGCCCTTTGCACTGACCCTAACCAGGAGTTAATTTTTTATATTTAAGTAATCTCTACACTCAAACATGAGGCTCAAACTCATGACCCCAAGATCAAGAGTTGTATGCTCTTCCGACCGAGCCGGCCAGGTGCCCCCCTAACCAGGAATTTAAAAGCACAGCCATGACCCTGATGGGGTTTGGCCAAGGAATGTTTGTGGTTTGTGGGTCACTGTGTCCTCCACAATCCCTCCCACCCGGCTGATATGTTGGTAGGGCTCTCCTCCTCAGAATGGCCAGGAAGGCCTGACACACACAGGTCGGGGAGCACCAGGCTGTCTTCTTTGCTCCAACCCAAGTGCTCAGGGCATGACCCTTGGTGAGTCCCCAACTGTCCTCTCTCTCATGACCCAGGATGTCATAATGATAAGGAGCAAGTGGGGCAAAGGTGAGTTCTCCCAAGGGACAAGACCTAACCTCCCACCTGCTGCCATGCAGCCTGAGAAACCTGACCACACACACTCAGCTGTTCTGGGACCAGCTGCTACAAGTGGGAGAAGATGAAGAGCAGGTGAGCACTGGGGCCTGGAAACACCCTCCGCAAGGGCTGGTTTTCAGTAGTACCCACATTTCCTTGGCATGAGACAGACCCATTATTTTTAACTAAGTGCTGACGTTCCAGATCGAAAGGAGACTGCCAGTCTACTGAGAGTGGACACTGACGTGACCGTCTCTGCAGCCCAGCCCATCTGCCAGTACCCGCCATGGGCTCAGACGCTGGGAGGCTGCCACCTGGAGTTTGGCTCCCTGCCTGCCTCATGGCACTCGGGTCATGCTGGGTCAGCCCTGGCCCACCCTGGGTGGTGAGGGACTCACAAAACTGCGCAGGCACTGAGGCTCAGAGAGGCCTCAGTTTCTCTATTATAGACCTAGAATCTGAACCTCACAGGCCTTCGTGGCGGTTTGGCCGCACGACTAAGTAGCGGGTGACCCTGCTGTTGAACTCAAGAGTGAGCACTGTGTCAAATCGTGTACCTGGGCACCTCACATGCATCCCTGGCCCTGGTTAGAAATGAGGGCCCCCTAAAGAAAGGGCTCCAGAAAATGACCTCAAGTGTCTGTGCCTCTTTCCTCATCTGTAGAAAGGGACCGAGTTATCTGTGGCACAAGGTGGTTAGGAGGAAAAATGAGAGCAGTCTGGCCGGCACGTGGCTGGCATACAACAAGCACTCCATGAACGTTAGCAAGAAACACCCTCCTTCCAGGATGTGTCCAGGCAAAACCTGGGGACTAGGCTCTCTGGCAGAGCGGGTCCAGCCGGCCGAGGGCAGGAAAGAGCCTGGCCTGGATGTGGGTGTCCAATGGACCCAACAGCCCTCCATCAAAACCCAGGCAAACGAGGGTTAGTAACTACGGAGAGAACACTGATCCGGCTGTGACTGGCGCTAAGTGAGGAGCGTGAGAAAGTGGCCCCTTGGGCTAACCCAGGTCACTTCTGTCGCAGCCTGGCCCCCGGGGAGGACATGTCTGAGCTGGGCCTCAGTGCAGCGCATTCAACCAGGAAATCGGGGTCGGGGGCTCCTTCCAGACGTCACTGGCAACCTCGGGTCGGGCCTCGACTTTCCTAACAACAAAGGGAGCGGCCGAGCCGGGGCCGCCACGCCGGTGGGCGCCCGTCTGGGGAGTGCAGCCCCCGTCAGGGGCCGGCGCGCACGTTACTGGTTTTCCCCGGGTGCTCGCTCAGCGCTGGTGCCACTGCGGGGGAGATTGCCCCCCCGGAGCCCGTTCGTCCCTCGGCCGCAGCGCGGGGCGGCCGTGCGCGCAGCCAGAAGCGCGCGCACCCGGGCGCGCACTCACCTGGGCCGCGCCGCGCGCCGGCATCCCGCGGCTCGGGCCGGGCTCGGGGCACACGGATCCGCAGCGCCGGGAGCCCCCCACCCGCCCGCCCAGAGGCGACCCCGGAAGTGCCGCCGGCGCCTGCGCGGAGGAGGACGGAAGCTCGGGGAGCGGCGGCGAGCGCGCGGCACCGATCCGCCCCCGGAGGAGGGGCCGGACGGTGGGGTGGGGGGCTCCTCCCATCCTGGACAAAGGCCCGGGGGCTGCCGGGACACTTGTGGCGTGAGGCGCGGGGGAAGCCGCTGGGGTGGGGGCGAGAACCCCCGCAGCCTGGTGCTCCTCCCAGTGACCTGCGTCCCGCCCCCACGAGCACGGTGGTCCCTGCGCGGCCGCCAGCCAGTGGTCGGACCCCCAAGAGGACTGGTCCGTCACGAGTCTTGCTTCGGTCCTCGAGGGGCCCCGGTTGGGGGTTGGGGGGGGTGGCCCGCAGACGGTTCGGTGGGTGACAATGGAGTGAGCGTGGGGGAGGTGGTGGCGGAGCCCCGGTCCTCGGGACACGCCTTCCTGGACTGCGGAGGGGTTTTACTTGCTCCCGACCTTCGGGAGGCACTTGTGGGGAGAGGACATGGGAAGTGGGCCAGGAAGCGGATGCCAGACTTATCCGGAAGCCCCTGCCCCCTGCCCGGGTCATCATCACGGGCGGGTCCGGGGATTCTGTCCGCCG